AGTTGGCCATACGTTTGTGGGTCTAGTTCTGGGGTTTCTATTCTATTCCATTGGTCTATGTGTCTGTTTTTGTGCCAATATCATGCTGTCTTGATGATGACAGCTTTGTAGTAGAGGCTAAAGTCTGGGATTGTGATGCCTCCTGCTTTGGTCTTCTTCTTCAAAATTACTTTGGCTATTTGGGGCCCTTTACAAACCTTCAATTTGTAAAAACAAAATATCTGTGAAGTGTGATAAAGTGCAATAAAATGAGATATAACTGTAAATGAGTTCAGCAAGATTAGAGGATGCAAAATCAATATACAAGAAGCATTAATTTATATATATTTACAATAAACAACCTGAAATTAAAATTAGGAATCATAAAATATAAGACATTTAGGAATAAACTTAACAAAAGAGTACAAGACTTGTATACTGGAAACTACAAAACACTGCTGAAAAAAATTAAAGAAGATGTAAATAAATGGAAACACATATCATGTTCTACATTTGGAAAACTTAATATTGTGAAGATGGCAATATTTACCAAATTAACCTATAGATTCAACACAGTCCCTATCAAAGTCCTAGCTGCCTTTTTTTGCAGAAATTGACTAGCTGATTCTAAAATTCATATGGATATGCAAGAGACTCAGAATCACCAAAACAGGGGAGCCCAAGTGGCTCAGTCGGTGAAGCGTCTGACTTCAGCTCAGGTCATGATCTCACAGTTTGTGAGTTCAAGCCCCGAACCGGGCTCTCTGCTGTCATCACAGAGCCTGCTTCAGACCCTCTGTCCCCCACTCTCTGCCCCTCCCTTGCTGTTTCTCTCTCTCTCTCTCTCCTTCTCAAAAATAAATTAATTAATTTAAAAAAATATACTTAAAGAATAACTCAAATAATCATGGAAGAGAGCACAGTTGGTAGTCCTACACTTCCTGATTTCAAAACTTATTACAAGCCACAATAATCAAGATAGTGTTTTGCTGACATAAGAATAGACATATAGATCAACGATATAGAATTGAGAGTTCATAAACATTTATGATTAATTCATTTTTTACAAAGGGACCAAGACAATTCAATATGGAAAAAGACTAACTTTTCCAGCAAATGGCAGTATGATAACTAGATTTCAATATGCAAAATAATGCCTTTGGATCCCCAAATCACACCATATGCAAAAATTAACTTCAAGTAGATCACACACCTTGATATAAAAGCTAAAACTCTTAGAAAAAAACATAGGAGGGGCGCCTGGGTGGCGCAGTCGGTTAAGCGTCCGACTTTAGCCAGGTCACGATCTCGCAGTCCGGGAGTTCGAGCCCCGCGTCGGGCTCTGGGCTGATGGCTCAGAGCCTGGAGCCTGTTTCTGATTCTGTGTCTCCCTCTCTCTCTGCCCCTCCCCCATTCATGCTCTGTCTCTCTCTGTCCCAAAAATAAATAAACGTTGAAAAAAAAAATTTTTAAAAAAAAGAAAAAAACATAGGAGTAAATCTTCATGATCTTGGGTTGGTTAATGGTTTCTTAGATACAATAATAAAAGCACAAATGATAAAAGGTAGATAAATTGGACTTGATCAGAATTTAAAACTTTTGTGCTTAAAGAAACCATCAAGAAAGTGGGAGAGGCAGGGCAACCGGGTACTCAGTGTGTTGAATGCCTGACTCTTGATTTCAGCTCAGGTCATGATCCCAGGGTCGTGGTATTGAGCCCTGCATTAGGCTCTTCCTTGAGCCCAGAGTCTGCTTAAGATCCTTTCTCTTTCTCCCTCTGACCCTCTCTTACCCCTCCACCCCCACCCTCCCTCACTCTCTAAAATAATTTTAAAAAGAAAAAAAAGTGGGAGGGGTACCTGGCTGGCTCAGTCAGTGGAGCATGTGACTCAATCTCAGGCTTGTGGGTTTGAGCCCCACATCAGGGAAAGAGATTACTTAAAAATAAAATCTTAAGGGGTGCATGGGTGGCTCAGTTGGTTAAGTGTCCAACTTGGACTCAGGTCATGATCTCACGGTGCAAGAGTTCAAGCCCTGCGTCAGGCTCTGTGCTGACAGCTCAGAGCCTGGAGCCTACTTCAGATTCTGTGTGTGTCTCTCTCTCTTCCCCTCCCCTGTTCACGCTCTCTCTCTCTCTCAAAATTAAAATAAACATCAAAAAAATCTTTTCAAGTAAATAAAATCTTTTTTAAAAGTGGGGAAAAAACCCCACAGATGGGTGAAAAATATTTGAAGGTCATATATCTGACAAAGGACTTGTATCCAGAATACATAAAGAATTCTTAGAATTCAACAATAGGTAGATGATCAATTTTTTAAAATAGAGCAGAGAATGTGCATAAAAGATTTTATCAAAACAGATATATAAGTGGCCAATAAACACATGAAAAGATGCTCAGTGTCTGTTAGTCATTAGGAAAATACAAATCAAAATCACAATAACATATCACTTCACACTAAAAAGGATGGCTACAATTAAGAAGACAATAACAAGTATTGGTGTGCTCACTTCAGCAGCACACATAATAATAATAACAAGTATTGGTGAGGACATGGAGAAATTGAAACCTTTGACTATGAAACTTTGAAACTGAATACTTTGTTGATGGGAATGTAAAATGGTGTAGCCTCTTTGGAAAATGGTTTGATGGATCCTCAAAATGTTAACCTAGAGTTACCATATGACCCAACAATTCTACTCCAAGGTAGGTGACCAAGATAAATAAAAACATATGTCCACACAAAGACCTGTACAGAAATGTTCATAGCAGCATTATTCACAATTGCTAAGAAAAGGAGACAAGCCAATGTCCATCCACTGATGATGGATAAATAAAATGTGGTATAGGGGCGCCTGGGTGGCGCAGTCGGTTAAGCATCCGACTTCAGCCAGGTCACGATCTCGCGGTCCGTGAGTTCGAGCCCCGCGTCAGGCTCTGGGCTGATGGCTCAGAGCCTGGAGCCTGTTTCCGATTCTGTGTCTCCCTCTCTCTCTGCCCCTCCCCCGTTCATGCTCTGTCTCTCTCTGTCCCCCCCAAAAAAATAAATAAAACGTTTAAAAAAAAAATTAAAATTATGAAAAAAAAAAAATAATAAAAAAATAAAATGTGGTATATACATGTGATGTAATATTATTTGGCCATAAAAAAAAATAATGATACATACCAGAGCATGGATGAACCTTGAGGACAGTGAAATGCTAAATGAAATACACAAAAAGCCATATTGTGTCACACAATATGAAATGTTCAACATAGGCATATCCATAGAGAATCCATAGACATACAAAGTAGACAAGGAGCTGACTTAGGCTGATGGAGGAGGAGACAGCATTGGGTTGGGAGGAAAGGGGACTTACTACTGATGGGTATAAGATTTCTTTATGGGATGATGAAAGTGTACCAAAATTAGATTATGGTGATAGTTGCACATCTCTGTTAAATATACTAAAAACATTGAAATGTACACATCAGATGAGTGAACTATATGGTATGTAATTAGAAAGCTGCTAAGTAAATTAAATTGAGTGACATTCTACAAAATAACTGACCAGTACTTACCAAAAGTTAAAGTCTTGAAAGACAAGGACACACTGAAGAATTGTCACAGATTGGAGGAGACTAAGGGGAAGTGAAAACAAATGCAATTCAATGGGGGATCTTGGTAGAATCCTAGAACAGAAAAAAATGATATTGAAGAGCAAAATTGTTGAAATTCTAATAAACTCTGTAGCTTACTTAATAGTATTGTACCAGTTCCTGGCTTTCATAATTGTACTACGGTCATGTAAATTGTTAACATTGGGGGAAGAATATTAGGAAACTCTATACTATTTTGCAATTTTTCTGTAAATCTAAAATTATTTCAAAGTGAATATTTTTTTTCAAGTTTCATTTATTTATTTTGAGAGAGAGAAAGACAGCACAAGTCAGGGAAGGGCAGAGAGAGAGGAAGAGAATCCAAAGCACACCCTGCACCACCAGCACAGAGCCCCATATGGGGCTCGAACTCATGAAACTGTGAGATCATGTTAGTTGAAACCAAGAGTCAGATGCTTAACCAAATGAGCCACCCAGGTGCCCCTAAAAAGACTCAGGCTGTCTTCTCTCCATATATGCCTTTTTTTTTTTTAACATTTCTTTTAATTTTTTTAAATTTTAAGTAGGTTGCACACCCAAGTTGGGGCTTGAACTCACAACCCTGAGATCAAGAGTCCCAGGCTTTACCCACTGAGCCAGCCTGGTGTCCCCATGAATATTTTTTTTTAAGAGAGAAATTTGGGAGACATTTCAATAAATTCCAATATATAAACTTTCTTTTGGCCCTATGAAACAATAAACTATTAAAAGAAAAGGCACCTTATGAGATAATTAGGGAAACTTGAGCACTGAGTAGATATTTAATATCAAAAAATTATTGTTATTTTTCAGTAGAATAGTGACATTATGGCTATTTTTGTTAAACAGTCCTTTTTTTAGAGATAAGTGCTGGAATATTTACAGATGAAATGATAAAATGTCTAGCATTTGCTTTAAAATAATCCAAAGGGAGGGGCGCCTGGGTGGCTCAGTCAGTTAAGCATCCGACTTCGGCTCAGGTCATGATCTCACGGTTTGTGAGTTCGAGCCCCACGTCAGGCTCTGGGCTGACAGCTCGGAGCCTGGAGCCTGCTTCAGATTCTGTGTCTCCTTCTCTCTCTGCCCCTTCCCCACTTGTGCTCTGTCTCTCTCTATCAAAAATAAATAAACGTAAAAAAAAAATTTTTTTTTAAATAATCCAAAGGGAAAGAGAGAAATGGCTGGGGGTGGGGGGCAGAGGTGAAATACAGATGGAATAAGATTTGAGTTAATCATGTCACATGGTGATGGGTACACGAGGATTCATCATACTACTTTCTCTAGTTTTGTATATGTTTAAACTTTTCATTCTAAAATGTTTTTAAAACTGTTTCTTGGGGCACCTGGGTGGCTCAGTCAGTTAAATGTCGATTCTTGATTCTGGCTCAGGTCATGATCTCCTGGTTGGTGAGTTCAACCCTAACATCAGGCTCTGCACTGCCAGTTCGGAGCCTGCTTGGAATTCTCTCTCCCCTTCTCTCTCTGCCTCACCTGTATGTTCTCTCTCTCTCTCTCAAAATAAATAAAATGAGCTTTAAAAAAAAAAACCTGCTTGGGGCGCCTGGGTGGCGCAGTCGGTTAAGCGTCCGACTTCAGCTCAGGTCACGATCTCGCGGTCCGTGAGTTCGAGCCCCGCGTCGGGCTATGGGCTGATGGCTCAGAGCCTGGAGCCTGTTTCCGATTCTGTGTCTCCCTCTCTCTCTGCCCCTCCCCCGTTCATGCTCTGTCTCTCTCTGCCTCAAAAATAAATAAACGTTAAAAAAAAAAAAAAAACCTGCTTGTTTCTTTCGTTTTTGTTATAAATCCTAATCTCTTCTCAGGCAGATGCAGGCTTCAAACCAACTATGATGATGTCATGTATTCAGAAAGATAAGGAAGAAAAGCACATTACTGGCTCTCAAAATATTATCTACAATTAAATTAGTATTATGACACAAAGTTTGAGGCATTATTTCTGTTTTAGGGTTATGGACTCAGGGAACCAATCTATAGGGTTGACAAATATACAAGTATAGTCTATAAATGAAATAAACATTATCATATATACAAATATATATTTATATGATCATATGTGAGATGATATATATTTGTATGTATAACTATCTTCAGAGGTGTTTTTAATTTCCAAATGCATGGAGTTTTCTTAATTATCTTCATGTTATTGATTTCTAAACTCCACTGTGGTTAGAAAACATGCTTTGTCAATGCATGTCAAACTTTAATGTGCACATGGAATGCTCTGGGGATCTTGTCAAAATGCAGGTTCTGACCCAGGAGGTCTGGAGAGGGGCCTGAGCTTTTACTTTTTTTTTTTTTTTTTTTCTAAGTAGGTTCCACATTCAACGTGGGGCTCAAACTCACAACCCTGAGATCAAGAGTCACATGCTCTACTGATTGAGCTGGCCAGGCACCCCTGAGCTTATACATTTCTAACAGGCTTTCACATGATTCTGCTGTTGCTCTATGGACCATACTTTTCATGGAAAGGGTCCGTGTAACACCAATTCCCTAATATCTATTGAGATTTTCTTAATTAAAAACAATTTTTTAATGTTTATTTTATTTTTGAGAGACAGAGACAGAATGTGGGCAGGGTAGGGGCAGAGAGAGGGAGACATAGAATCTGAAGCAGGCTCCAGGCTCTGAGCTGTCAGCACAGAGCCCATTGTGGGGCTCAAACTCATGAAGCGTGAGATCATCACCTGAGCCGAAGTTGGAGTTTTAACGGACCAAGACACCCAGGAGTCCAATTCCCTGATATCTATTGAGATTTTATTTATGTATAGTTAATGCTCACAAACATTCCACAGGCATCTAGAACTAATGTGTATAATCTGCTTATTGAATGGTGTGCTGTAAATATCTATTAAATCAAATGGTTACTTGTGATATTCAAGTCTTCTGTATCCTTATTCATGTATTTCTTTGATCTACCAAACACTGAGAGAAATATATTTAAAATCTTCCTACGATGATGGATTTGTCAATTGTTTCTCATAGTTTCGTTAATTTTTACTTCATATGCTCTGAAGTTTCATTTTTAGGTGCACAGAATTTGAAATATTTTCTCTTCCTGGCGAATTAAAGCTTTATCATTATAAAGTGACCATTTCAATTTCTAGCAAAACTTCCTAACAGATTTGTTTTGAACAGTATTTGCCTTGTGCACCTTTTTCCATCTTTTTACTTTCAGCTATTCTGAGTCCTTATGTTTAGGTGTGTTATTTGTAAACAGATATTGCTGAATTTTAGTTTTTGACCCAGTTTTTACATGAATAATAAGAAAGATCTTAGAATGTTTTAACTCTAATCATCTCCTTTCTGACTTATATTTACAAGTAATTTAGCACATTCTTTTCTTAACTCCCCAATTCAGACATTAATATTATTTTATATCACCAATATTTATTTAGATTAACTCACACATTTACAGTTTTACAGGGTTTTGTGTTGTTTTGTTTTGTTTTTTTACTAGATCTTTCACTGTGCATCTCAAACCTTTGTTCTGGAATCTTCTGCTTTGAGGTATATCTTTTAACTGTGCTATTCAATATGCGGTTCAAAATGTTGGAAATAATCATTATCTGCACTGTCTCATAAACCAGCCACTAGCCACATGTGGTTATGGAGCACTTGAAATGTGGCAATGTGACTCATTACTGAATTTTTTTGTTTTATAATTTTAATTTAAATAGCCATATGTGGCTAGTGGCTACTGCACTGGACAGTAGAACTTTAGAAGTACCATTAATAAAGGACTTTTGATGATTAAGTGCATGTTTTTGTTGATCTGAAAATGTATTTCACCCTTGTTCTTAAAAGATAATTTCTCTGGGAAGAGAATTCTAGGCTGACGATATTTTCTCTTAACACTTTAAAGATGTTATGCTATTATTATTTTCTGGCTTCCATTTTTTAAAAAAAATTTTTAATGTTTATTTACTTTTGAGAGAGAGAGACAGAGACAGAGTGCAAGAGGGGGAGGGGGAGAGAGAGAGGGAGATGAAAAATCCAAAGCAGGCTCCAGGCTCCAGGCTCTGGGCTGTCAGCCAGAGCTGACATGGGTCTCATGGGGCTCGAACTCACAAACTGTGTGATCATGAGCTCAGCAAAAGTCAGATGCTCAACCAACTGAGCCACCCAGGCGCCCCTGGCTTGCATTTTTGCTCTAGTGAAGTCAATCTAATTTTTATTCCCCTTTATTTTTTTTTTTTTTAAATTTTTTTTTTTCAACATTTATTTATTTTTCGGACAGAGAGAGACAGAGCATGAACGGGGGAGGGGCAGAGAGAGAGGGACACACAGAATCGGAAACAGGCTCCAGGCTCCGAGCCATCAGCCCAGAGCCTGACGCGGGGCTCGAACTCACAGACCGCGAGATCGTGACCTGGCTGAAGTCGGACGCTCAACCGACTGCGCCACCCAGGCGCCCCCCCTTTATTTTTTTAAAATATTTATTCATTTTTGGGAGAGCACAAGCGGAGGAGAAGCAGAGAGAAGGGGACTGAGGATCAGAAGCAGTCTTTGCCCCAACAGGCTGACAGCAGCAAGCCCAATATGGGGCTCAAACTCACAAACTTCGAGATCATGACCTGAGTTGAAGTCGGACGCTGAACAGGTGCCCCTGTTCCCCTTTAGGTAATATATATTTCTCTGGCTGACTTTAATTTTTTTCCTTTGGTGTTTTGCAGTTCTGCCACCTGTAAGCACCACAGTGTTGTTAATATCCTCTGGCCCCCCAGACTCAGGATCCCCTTCTTGTCCAGGTATTGGGAAAGCTCTGGTTATTTCTCCAGGTAGACTCTTTAGGAGGGAGTTACCAACAAAATTCTTGGCACCTACTGACCTGCCTCTATGGTAACCAAACATTCCAGTTTGCCAAGGACTGAGAGTTTCCTTGAGTCCAGGATGCAGGACTTTCAGTGCTAAAACTGGCATAGTCCTGGATGACAAGGACAGTTGGTCATCTACCTACTTTCTCTCTTTTATACCACAGCTCTGCCCCTCCTCACGCACACATGTCCCCTTGTGGGAGGCTGGATAAAGAGCAGGTCAAGTATAGTGTCCCTCTGTTCTTATAATCCCTGCTCCATCAGGATTCAAGACTCTGATGTTCAAGCTGATACGTTAGCCATACTTTTTTTTTCTCTTGGCAATGCTGTCTCAGGAACCTTATTGACTCTCAGAGAGATGGCTCTCTCCCCAGCCACAAAGCTCAAGCTGTTTTCAAGAAAACTGGTCACAGAGTAGCCCAGGTCCTGGGCTCAAAGTACATTGTGGATATGGCTGGGCTCCTTCTTTACAATTTTGGAACACTCTGTCAAAAGGTACCTAAGTAAGTCTACAATAATTGCAGAATAGGTTCTGCACAACACAGCAATGACCTCCAGAGGGTGGTGGTGCCCAACTCCCCAAGCCACCCTCCAGCACCTTATTAAGGCCCAGCCCAAGCAGAGTATTATGTGTGTTAGTGACTGTTTTCCCTTTTTTCTCCCTTCTCTTAAGTTTTTTAAAAAAAATTTTTAGTGTTTATTTGAGAGAGAGAGAGAGAGAACAGGCGGGGGAGGGGCAGAGAGAGAGGGAGACACGGAATCCAAAGCAGGCTCCAGGCTCAGAGCTGTCAGCACAGCTGACCCAGATCCCGACTCAGGGCTTGAACCCACGAACTGTGAGATCATGACCTGAGCTGATGTCGGATGCTTAACCAACTGAGCCACCCAAGCACCCCTTCCCTTAAGTTTTTGAGTAAAGTTTCTTTTGAATAATCCCAGCATGTTTTGCCTGAGCTATAGAAAGTTTAGAGGATATTTCTTCCTCAGCTCATCCTGGAAGACAAAGACGATTGTTATACCTACAGAAACTAGTTTTATCACTGGAGATAATAGTGAAGATTCCAGAAAAAAAAAAAGAAAGAAAGAAAAGAAAAGAAAAGAAAAGAAAAGAAAAGAAAAGAAAAGAAAAGAAAAGAGAATGGGAGAGAACTCAGAACTTTACTTATTCTTTCATTTTCTAGCAAGCTAGGACATGAACAGTAAACATTTCAGCTATCCTATAACATATTTAGAACGCTTTCAGAACAACTCCAGATCCAAAAGTAACTAGAAAATAAACAACAACACTTGTGGCAGTGAACTATCAGCTCGGATTACTAAACCACAAGTGAGCCCAGATGAGAAGCACAAAAGGCTCTGAGATTTCCTGTCAAAATGCTCTAATCCACCAGCTGATGCATGCAATCCCCAAGTCCTCTTTAGCACTGCCTAGAAATGGCCTGCTCTTGTGCATGTACCAAGGGTACCCTGCAGGGGAAAGATCCTACCATTATTTTGACATCTTTATAGTAGAACCTGAAGACAAAAAAAAAAAAAAAAAAAAAAAAAGTGCCATTTAAAAGTTAAAAGAAAACACAGGAGAAAAACCTCTTGACACTGGATTTTGGCAACGATTTCTTAGATATGACACCAAAAGTACAGGTAACAAAAGAAAAATAGGTAAGTTGGACGTCATCAAAAGTAAAAACTTTTGTGCATCCAAGGACATTATCAACAGAGTAAAGAGGCAACCCGTGGAATTGGAGAAAATATTTGCAAATGATATTATCAGATAAGAGATTGCTATCCAGAACATATAAAGAACTCCTACAACTTAAAAAAAAAAAAACTATTTAAAAATGGGCAAAGGACTTATATAGACATTTCTCAAAAGATACACAAATGGCCAATAATTATGCACGTGAAAAGATACTTAATATCACTAGTTATTAGAGAGATGAAAATCAAAACCACAGCGAGGGGTACCTGGGTGGCTCAGTCGGTTGAGGGTCTGACTTCAGCTCAGGTCAAGATCTCACGGGCTCATGGGTTTAAGCCCTGAGTCAGGATCAGGGTCAGCTGTGCTGATAGCTTGGCGCCTGGAGCCTGCTTTGGATTCTGTATCTCCCTCTCTCTCTCTCTCTACTCCTCCCCCGCTCATGCTCTGTCTCTCTCTGTCTCTCAAAAATAAATAAAAACTTTTTAAAAATGAAAAAAAAAAACCACAATGAGATACCACTTCATATACTTATTATAATGATGATTATAAAATAAAGCTTTATAAAAAAAATAACAAGTGTTGGTAAGAATGTGGAGAAATTAGAACGCTTGTGCACTGTTGGTGAGAATGCAAAGTGGTACAGCTGCTGTGGAAAACAGGAAGGCGGTTCTTCAAAAAAATTAAACATAGAATTATCATATTATACAGAAATTTCATTTCTGGATACATACCCAAAAAAAAGTGAAAGCAAGGACTCAAACAGATATTTATACACCCATATTCATAGGAGCATTATTCACAATAGCGAAAACAGGGAATGAACCCAAGTGTCTATTAAGTGTCAAGATGAATGGATAAACAAATATGGTGTATACATACAATGGAATGTTATTCAGCCTTAAAAAGGAAGGAAATTCTGACATATGGTACAACAGGCATGAGCCTTGAAGATATTATGCTAAGTGGGGTGCCTGGATGACTCAGTCGGTTAAGCGTCCGATTTCAACTCAGGTCATGATCCCACAGTTCAGTTCGGTCCGTGGGTTCGAGCCCTGCTTTGGGCTCTGTGCTGACAGCTTCAAGATTTTGTCTCCCCCTCTCCCTGCCCCTGCCCCACTTGCGCTCTGTCTCTCTCAAAAATAAACTTTAAAAAAAATCTTTAAAAAGAAGATATTACGCTAAGTGAAATAAACTAGTCACAAAAGAACAAATATTGCATGATTCCACTTACATAGGTATCTAGGGTAGTCAATGCTTAGAGACAAATTGTAGAATGGTGATTGTCAGAGCTAAGGGAGAAAGAAATGAAGAGTTATTGTTTAATGAGGACAGAGCTTTAGTTCTGCAACATGAGAAGAGTTCTATGGATGGATGGTGGTGATAGTAGCACAACAACATGTATGTCTTTAACACTACTGAACTGTGCACTTAAAAATGGGTAAGATGTCAGGGCACCTGGGTGGCTCAGTCAGTTAAGCGTCTGACTTTGACTCAGGTCATGATCTCAGAGGTTTGTGAGTTCCAGCCCCATATTGGGCTCTGTGCCGGCATCCCGGAGCCTGGAGCCTACTTCAGATTCTGTGTCTCCCCCTCTCTCTGCCCCTCTCATGCTCACACTCTGTCTCTCAATAACAAATAAACATTTTTTTAAAAAAATTTTTAAAGAAATGGTTGGGCAAATTATGGTATATTCATACTACAGAATATTATGGAATCATTGAAAATAGCTAGGTTTGTCTACATTCTACAGTATATTAAATAAAAATTAAGTTGCAGACAAAAATGTATCATTATCATTAGCAAATATTCAAATTGCATTGACAGTGTGTCACACAGGGTTCTAAGGGCCTTTCATATTTTTATTGAAATATAATTAGCATACAGTGTTATATCAGTTTCAAGGTACAATATGATTCAACAATTCTATACATTACTCAGTGCTCACCACAATAGGTATAGGGCTTTTTTTTTTTTTTCTAAGTTTATTTATTTATTTTGAGAGAGAGGGAGAGAGAGCAGGGGAGGGGCACAGAGAAAGGAAGAGAGAGAATCCCAAGCAGGCTTCGCACTGTCAGTGCAGAGCCCAATGTGAGGTTAGAACCACAAATGGCAAGATCATGACCTGAGCTGAAACCAAAAGTTGGATGCTTAACTGACTGAGCCACCCAGATGCCCTGGTGGGGAACTTTTTATATGTTATCTCATTTAATCCTCACAACAATCTTATGAGGTAAATACTATTATTGTCCCATTTCAAAGATGAAGAAGTCCAGGCATAGAGAAAATGAGTAATCTGCCCAAGGGTAAACAGCTAGTAAATGACTGGAGCCTGTAATGGAACCCAGATTCTCTGACCTTGGAGTACCATCATATAGCATACTGTCTCTAAACATAATTCTATGCTTGGGTATGTGCGAATATACGTATATCATGTATGTATGAATATATGTATATGGTATGTTTGTGGGTGTCTGTGTCTGTGTGTTTAATCATATAATATATCTCTAGACCTAGACATATAAACTTAGGGGAGAAATGGAAAGATTACGTACCGAATTATTAATAATGGTTATAATTCTCAAGGTTGGGTAGGATGACAGAAATAGGGGAAAGGATTTTCACTAATTTTGCTTGTGTGTATGTGTGATTATGTACTTGTGGATTTTAGGATCTTTCCAGTAAGCTTTTTTACAACTTTTTTTTACTGCAGTAAAATATATATATAACATAAGATTTACTATTTTAACCATTTTTAACTGTACATTTCAGTGGCATTAAGTACATTCACATTGTTGTGCAACCATCACCATCCTCCATCCACAGAACTCTTCGTGTTATAAAACTGAAACTCTGTACACATTGAACAACAACTCCCCGTTTCCTCCTCTTGGCCAGCCCATGGCAACCACAGTATTACTATCTGTCTATATGAATATTGTACTTCCTATAAATGGAATCATACAGTATTTGTCTTTTTGTTACTGGTTTATTTCACTTAGCATAATTCCTCAAGGTTCATCTATGCTATAGCTTATGTCAAAATAGCCTTCCTTTTTCAGGCTGAATAATATTGTTATACATATATATCACATTTTGCTTATCCATTTATTCCTCAATGGACACTTGGGTTGCTTCCATGTTTTAGCTATTGTGAATAATGCTTCTATGAATATAGGTGTACGAACATCTGAGTCCCGGCTTTCACTTTTTGGGGATATTTATCTGGAAGTAGAATTGCTGGATCATATGGTAATTCTATGTTTAATCTTTTTGAAGAACCACTGTCCTGTTTTTCCACAGTGGCTGTACTGGTTTACATTCTCACCAACAGGGTACAAAGATTCCAATTTCTCCACTTCCTCACTAACACTTGTTATTTTCTGTGTTTTATTTTAATATTTTTTAGTTTATTTATTTTGAGAGAGACAGAGCGCAAGTGTGGGGGAAGGGCAGAGAGAGAGAGAGACAGGGAAAGAGAGAAAATCCCAAGCAGGCTCCACACCACCAGTGCAGAGCCTGACACGGGGCTCAAACCCACAAAACTGTGAGATCACACCCAGAGCCGAACCAAGAACTAGATGCCCAACCGACTGAGCCACCCATGCACTCCTGTTTTGGTTTTTTGATAGTAGCCATCCCAGTGGATGTGAGGTGATATTTCATTGTACTTTTGACCTGTAATTCCCTATTGTTTAGTGATATTGAGCATATTTTCATGTCCTTTATTGGCCATTTGTAGATCTTTTTTTGAGAAATGTTTATTCAGGAAATTTGACCCATTTTTGTTTGGATTTTTGTTGTTGTTGTTGTTGTTGTTGTTGTTACTGAGTCGAGTAAATTTTGAAACATACATCCTCCCTGAGCCCCTCCATTAAAAACCTTATACCCAGCTATCTGTATACAGAATTTCATGACTCTAGACTTTTCACTCACCACTTTCCTGGATCACAAGAGTCATTTAAAAGTTTCTAAAATTGTGGGTGCGTAGGTGGCTCAGTCCATTAAATGTCTGACTCTTGATTTCGGCTCAGGTCATGATCTCACTATTTATGGGATCAAGCCCCCAGCTGGGCTCTGCACTGACAGCTCAGAGCCAGCTTGGGATTCTTTCTCTTCCTCTCTCTCTGCTGCTCCCCCACTCGCTTGCATGCGCACACTCTCTCAAAATAAATAAATATTTTTTTTTCCTAAAATTGGACCTACTTTCCATATGCTTCACTACCACCACCACTGCTCCAACACCTGCACATCACTAATCCAATTTAATCAGCCTTTTTTTTTTCTCTTTCTGCCCATGGATTTGTAGGACAGTAGAATAGCATCCTTTACAGTGCACATATATTTAAGTGAAAACTTCTACTGAGATGCCTTCTCCCTTCCCTTCTCCAGCCTAAATTTTCCCAAATCCTTAAGAAATGGTTTTTGCTCAGCACTATCATTAACCAGTATGGGGAAGAAATGAAAGACTCCGTGGTCCTAGGAGGGGAGAGCCGGAGTACCTCTAGTCAAACCACAATGACCACGTGGAAACAACAAATCTAAGCCTTCTGAACCCCAAATGGCAACGTACAAGGCCAGCAATGGTGAGAACAAGGTTTGCAGAAACTTTGCCGGATAAGCGGATCATGGATTTCGCACAGTTCTGTGTAGAAAGGGCGCTGAGCCTTGCTGGAAAACTAGTCTTCCAAATAACCGCCAAGCAGCGCTGCCTGGCTTCCCCCGCGTCCCCAAGGTCTGACTCCTCCGCAGGACTGGTTTTCTCCCTGCAGCCACCGCCTTTCCCCCCAATCATGCTCTGCCTCTCGAGCCTAGGGCTTTGCTTAGTTCCTTCCGCCTCAAAGGTTTAACTCCAGTCCCACTCAACCTTAGATCGACCTCAACTCCGCTCTAAGACACAGTAGGGTTTCAAGAAATGCTGATAGGCCGAATGAATGAAGAAATGAAGAAATCATAAAATAGGAACTTTTATCCTCACGTAACCTGGCAGAAAGATGTGGAACTCTGAAGTCAGACAGATCGGGTTCCAATACCAGTTCTTCCACTTAGTTAGTAGCTGCTGGGTGAAGTTCGCTCCTCTGAGTGTTCAAAAAACGTTTGTTGAGCGAATGAATAAGATGTGTGAAAAATTAAATGAGATAATGCTGGTATCGTCCGCTGGCCACCATCAAGGCTCCACAGAATTACTACTCTCCCTACTATATACCATGTTCTGTATTTATTTAGGTGGACTGTGAGTTCCCTGAGGAAGGAGATGTTTGACTGGGTTCCGAACTCCCCAAGGTGCTGGGTCATATTTAAGTGACTAGAACGTAGATGGAGGACTGCAATTTTTTAAATGCTCCGGCCGAGGAAGATTACATATCCCGAATGGATCAAGCAGAGACCCCAAGTCGCATCATCCCTCGAGAAATCTCAGCCAGTTCGTGTATAAAAGAAGGCCTACCATACCTGCAATTCGAGTCTGTGCGCCTTAGGACTCCACCCCACCCCGCGCCTCCATCCGCTGAGCCCAAAGGCGGCCCACGACTTGCTCCTCCCAGGAGCCGGCGCCTAGGGAACACGCCTGCGCACTGCTCTCTCCTTGTCTCCTCCCTCCTTCCTTTTGTTGGTCCTTCGCGTTTCGAGCGCTGGGTCCTTTTTGTCCCCTACTCCGAGCGGTGTCAGCTTCCGTGCGGAAGCGGTGGCCGTGAGGGAAGAAGATGGCGGCGACTGTGGTGGCGTCGCCTGGTGCGGTGGCTAGTCGGGCCAACAAGCGCAGCGGCCCTGGGCCGGGAAGCGGCAGCGGCGCGGGAGCCAAAGGGTCGGAGGAGGAACCGCCGCCGCCCCTACAAGCAGTTCTGGTGGCAGATAGCTTCAATCGCCGCTTCTTCCCCATCTCTAAGGACCAGCCTCGGGTGAGCACCGCGCGCGGCAGCAGCCAAAGGGCCCGAAGGTGGCCGGGCTACAGCAGGTTATCCTTTCGGCTGCGTAGTGGGGAGTGCTCTGGCAGATGGGCACTCATGCTGACCACCTCAGGTTTGAAAGGCTTGTATAGGGCTCAATGTAGAAGTAGTGCTTGTGAGAAGTCTTCACACGGGGATTCAATGCCCCAGGAGGAGGCTGTGCTGCCTTTAACCGTGCAATGGAAAAAGAGATCCTTAGGTGAATGGGAACAGCACTTCCTTTTGCCTGCAAAAAGGGGGGTCATATGCCTGAAAAAAGAGCAGACCGGTAACAGTCTGATCCCATAGTAAGAGCTGTCTTGAATCCCGGAGGGTGTCCTTTTTTTCTTTCCAGGTTTTAATGACAGACGGTGCCATCTGTCAAAAGGAAGACAGAACTGGTTTAGTGGACGGTTGCCAGCAGACCCCGTATTGTCTAGATACTGGGGAATTGGACTGAGCTAGTCTTAGGGATTGCAGGGTCACTCAGCAGTCCCTAGTTCAAAGACAGCTGCATTCGGATAAAAAAAAATCCTAACTTCCCACACCTCCCAAAAAGCCTAATGGCTGTTCATTTTGGACAAATGATTGGGATGGCCAGAAAGAGATCTGGAAGGAAATTTTATGGAGGAAAGGGCCTTATCACTGCTTACGTTTCTGGAGATAAGATTGATTTTTAGTATTATCCTTTGCCAGAGTGGCCTGTTGTCCTGTAGCAGCTGTGTGTCTGTTGCTAGGCAAGCAGATTCCATGCTTGCTGTTACATTCTCATCCTAGGTTCTCATGCTTAGAGCATGCCATGAACATCAAAGGTAGGGGCCTGATTTCTTTTAACTTTAGAAGATAAAGTAAAACGATAGCGTTTGGGAACACTGGTAGGGGAGTGAAAATTGTGGTTAAGTGGAGGAAAGAATAGTGCCCAGCGGACCTTTCTGGATTCAAAAATTAAGACTTTTTTCATCTCCTGCCCTCCAGGTCCTCTTGCCCCTGGCCAATGTGGCACTAATTGACTACACTCTGGAATTTCTGACCGCCACAGGTGTACAGGAAACCTTTGTTTTTTGTTGCTGGAAGGCTGCTCAAATCAAGGAACATTTACTGTAAGGCTCTGCAACTTTTCTTTCCATATTTCACCATTTTTTCCAGTTTCCTTAGGATGGTTGTAACTAAGTAAGGAGAAATTGTGAGGGGAAAAAATGTCTGTTTGGATTCCATCATAAGGACTAAGGGCATTCTCTTCACCTATCAGGAGGTGAGCAGCTGAAGTTATGACAAAGATTAAAGAATAACATTTGGATTTTTTCTAAATCTCATTTATAAAGTTTGATCTTGTTGATTTTGCTTTTACTTAAAGGCTCCAATATGGAAGTCATGACAGAAACATCTTTGTTTTGCCACTGAGCTTCTAAATATTGAGCTCTTCCTCATCTTTGTATTCACAGTGCCTAGCTTAGTACAAAGCACGTAGTAAATAAACACTTAACCAAATGTTTGGTGAAATCTTCTTGAAAAAGAGTGAATCTTAGGATTTATGGAAGTTTATGGCATAAAGACTAGGATATTAGCATGGTGTCCTTTAGACAGCTCCTAAATTTGGTTTGGACTTTGCAAGGAGAGAAGTGGCATGGAAAGTGTGTTCCCAGGATACTTTGTATACTCTTAAGTCTCAGCAGGATTTTGAATTCAGATCCATGTTTGGGGACAGGTGTCAGGGTATGGAGAGGAAATAACTATGTTTCTCTAACCCATAAAACAAGACTGGTGACACAGGATGCTGAAACCATTCATTATAGTTCATAAATCTCTTTGAAGTAGAGGATGCTGGCAGGAACCCAGAAAAGCTGTAGAGAAGGTGTGTGAATGTTGAATGGGGGAGAAAAATAGGGAAGCTCTACGCAATCTTTATGCTTGATTTGCTCGTTCCCCTCATCCACCTTCCTTTAGGAAATCCAAGTGGTGCCGCCCTACATCCCTCAACGTGGTTCGAATAATTACATCAGAATTATATCGATCACTGGGGGATGTTCTCCGTGATGTTGATGCCAAGGCCTTGGTGCGCTCTGACTTCCTTCTGGTGTATGGGGATGTCATCTCAAACATCAATATTACCAAAGCCCTGGAAGAACACAGGTCAGGATGGGAAGATGGTAAGGACAAAGGGTTTGGAACCAGCAGAGCCCAAAGACTGCTATTTTGCTGCTCTCTCCTTCCTATCCTTTATAGATTGAGGCGGAAGCTAGAAAAAAATGTATCTGTGATGACAATGATCTTCAAAGAGTCATCCCCTAGCCACCCAACTCGTTGCCATGAGGACAATGTGGTAGTGGCTGTGGATAGTGCCACAAACCGGGTTCTCCATTTCCAGAAGACCCAAGGTCTTCGACGGTTTTCTTTTCCTCTGGTATGTGGGTATCTGGGGTCCTTGAGATGGGAAAGTGACAGGCTTTAGCAGGAGACACGTTGAAGTGCTTGTAACTTCTCCCTACAGAGTTTGTTCCAGGGCAGTGGAGATGGTGTAGAGATTCGCTATGATTTACTGGACTGTCACATCAGCATCTGCTCTCCTCAGGTGAGCTTTTCAGGGCCAGAGCTGCATATCCAAAGAGTAAAACTCTGAGGTATGTTATTGCTCCTTTAGAAGGCCAGGGTATATTTCTTCTCCCTTTTTCTCTTATCAGTTCCACAGTAAACGGGTGCTTCATCTTGACCCCAGGATCCCATTGGGAGCCTTTTTGGGATTCTGGCCCTTGTCCAACTGTCATAGGGTCTGATAGGTCTCTAGAGGCTTATCTTTGCTTCCAGAGAATAGCACTTACCATGGTGCCACCCAACATCCCCCCCACAGGTGGCTCAACTCTTTACAGACAACTTTGACTACCAAACTCGAGATGACTTTGTGCGAGGCCTGTTAGTGAATGAGGAGGTAAGAAAAGGTTCCCATGCCTCTTTAGAAGAGGGCTGTGATTTTATCCCATGCTGATAATTTTTGGTCCTCTTTTGTGTTTTATTGAGCCTTAGGAGTAAGAAAAAGAACTAGGGGGTGGGGCGGGGGGGAGAGGGAAACAATATACAAAGAAACATCTTGACCATTTGGCTAGGACATTGAAAGGCAGAGGGGAACTTAAAGTTAGAAAAGAATTGTACCTGGTTGTGTTCTTCCTCTCTTACTTACTTAGGTGACCGCCCTTTCCTTGTCCCTTTCAGATCCTAGGGAACCAGATCCACATGCACGTGACAACTAGGGAATATGGCGCCCGGGTCTCCAACCTACACATGTATGCGGCTGTCTGTGCTGATGTCATCCGCCGATGGGTCTACCCACTCACGCCAGAGGCAAACTTCACTGACAGCACAACCCAGAACTGCACTCATTCCCGGCATAACATTTACCGAGGGCCTGAAGTCAGCCTAGGCCATGGCAGCGTCCTGGAGGAAAATGTGCTTCTGGGCTCTGGCACCGTCATTGGCAGCAATTGCTCTATTACCAACAGTGTCATTGGCCCTGGCTGCCACATTGGTGAGCACAGGTGGGGAAATCAAACTGGTCACCCTAGGAACAGGAACGTGGGGAGCCCCATGTCTTCAGAGAAAGAGAGGGATCGTTCCTGAGAAGGAGGAACTAGTGTGGCTACCTTAGTAAAGGACAGAATAGGGATGTGAAATTTGTGGCCTTTAATTTGTGGCCTGTGAGCCTCTTACTGGGTGACCCTTCACATTCCAGAGTACCTTATTCACATTCAGGACCAAGTGGATAATTAACATGCAATAATAACATCTGTTTGGTGCACTGCAGTTTTACAAAGGGGTTTTGCGTGCATCGTTTCATTTATCCTCACAAAAACCTTGTGAAGTGAGTATTATTTATTCTCGGTTTATAGCCAAGCAAACAGGCTCAAAGAGGTTTATCTCCCTCAGGGTTATAAGCTAATGAGAGGCAGTGCTAGGACTTGAATGTGAGTATTCTAAGTACAGCATTCTTTTTACTCTACCATTACTACCTGGTTGCTTCTTGGTAAGTCACTTTGGTTATAGGAATGTGTTGCTTTTAATGGAACTGGCCCTTTAAAAGAACAACAATAAAATTCGAATTCTAAAATGTACAAGAAGAGGAGCAGGCATCTGGCTGGCTTAGTCGACAGAGTACGGGACTCTTGATCTCGGGGTTGTGAGTTCAAGCCCTGCATTGGGTGTAGAGATTACTTAAAATCTTTTTTTTTTTTTTTTTAATTTTTTTTATTATTATGTTTATTTATTTTGAGAGAGAGACACACACACAGAATCCGAAGCAAGGCTCCAGGCTCTGAGCTGTCAGCACAGAGCCCGATGTGGGGCTCGAACCCATGAGTGGGAGATCATGACCTGACTCCAAGTCGGATGCTCAACCGACTGAGCCACCGAGGCGCCCCTTAAAATCTTTTTTAAAAATTGAAATGTACAAGAAGAGATGGAAAAATTGAGTTCTACTTCTAGACATGGATATGATTCTAACAAGGATCTTGAGTTCAAAGGGGTCCCCAGAGATCTTGAAGGTTCTCAGGTACTTAAGTGCAGTATATAGACTGTGATTGTTGCAAACCTAGTGGAGGATGGTCGTGGTAAACACTTCTATTCTCAGGCTGGAGCTTTGAAGGGGAGAGGGTGTTTCTGGTGAATTAGGGATGCAGTATCAGAGCTGGGTGGGAGTTGTGCTGCTATCAGTCAGCCCTGTCCTCTAGGAATGGCCCTGGTCTGGAGCCCTGAGTGACCAGGAATGCTTCTTGTCCTGAGCCAGGTGATAACGTGGTGCTGGACCAGGCCTACCTGTGGCAGGGTGTCCGAGTGGCTGCTGGAGCACAGATCCATCAATCTCTGCTCTGTGACAATGCTGAAGTCAAGGAACAAGTTACACTGAAGCCACGCTGTGTCCTTACTTCCCAGGTAAGACCATCTCCATACTGCACACAAGCCCCAAACTGGTTGGTGGTCATGTTGAGCCAGAGGGGCCTTACATCCACCCATGTTCCAGCCTGAATTGAGAGTCCCAATCCAGTGGATTCTTTTTTTTTTTTTTTTTTTTTTTTTTTTTTTGAGAGAGAGCACATGTGCTTGCACACACACAAGTAGGGGACGGACAGAGAGAGAGGGAGAGAGAATCCCAAGCAGGCTCCACACTGTCAGCGTAGAGCTGGATGCAGGACTCGATCCCATGTGAGATCATGACCCAAGCCGAAATCAAGAGTTGGAGGCTTAACTGACTGAACCACCAGGCAGCCCCCCTTGTTTTTAATGCTTATTTATTTATTCTGAGAGAAGCTTTGTGCAGTGGCAGTATCGTAGCCAATGAGGTTTATCCGAGGCACGATTATTGCTAATTGAAAACTATTCTGAGAGAGAGCGCGAGCACACGGGGCAGAGACGGGGAGAGAGAGCAAATCCAGTGGATTCATTTATCTTCTACTTAGCTTAGTAAAAATAGTTGCTCATTGTCAGGATGTACCTTTTCCCAACACACTGATGGATCTGTGCCACCTACTCTTTTTTGGTCCCCTAGGTGGTAGTGGGCCCAGACATCACGCTGCCTGAGGGCTCGGTGATCTCTTTGCACCCTCCAGATGCAGAGGAAGATGAGGATGATGGCCAGTTCAGTGACGATTCTGGGGCTAACCAAGAAAAGGAGAAAGTGAAGCTGAAAGGTGTGAGGCTTAGCAGGTGTGGGGCATCTGTGTGTCTCTTTGCCCTGTGGGAAAACCAGTATTTCCTCCTAGAGTGATTGTGTTTCTCATGTGCCTTCACTAAAGATCAATGCTTTTCCAGGTTACAATCCAGCAGAAGTCGGAGTTGCTGGCCAGGGCTACCTCTGGAAAGCTGCAGACATGAATGTGGAAGAGGAAGAAGAACTACGGCAGAATCTATGGGGTGAGCTAGGCCTTATTCCTGTCACCCCCCCCCCCACACACACACACACACACTCCTAAGTCGGAATATTTTGAAGGAGAGCGAATACTTCAGAATCAGACCACTTGTTTATTACTTTATTCACTCAGACAGGGTAGATAGATTACTCTGTGTCAATGGCTCTTTCCTTTTCTTGTTTCTCACCCTTAATGGGTTCTCAGGACTCACAATCAATGTGGAAGAAGAGAGTGAAACTGAGAGTGAGCAGAGTATGGATGCTGAGGAGCTAGACAGCCGAACGGGCTCCCCACAGATGGATGACTTCAAAGGTGAGTGGCCAGGGGAGCGGTGTCCTGGAACAAACCGAGGAAAACTTCCAGTTCATTCTTCGTCTGGATCGACTAGCCAGAGACTTGTGTTTCTCCCAGAAGGGGTTTGGTATAAAATCAGTCCCATAGCGTACTGGGATGGGCTCAGTCGGTTAAGCATCCAACTCTTAATTTCGGCTCAGATCGTGATCTCACAGTTTATGAGTTCAAGCCCCACGTTGGGCACTGCGCTAACAGTGCAGAGCCTGCTTGGGACTCTCTCTCTCCCTCTCTTTCTGTCCCTCCCCCGCTCATGCTCTCTCGCGCTCTCTCTCTCTCTCTCTCTCTCTCTCTCAAAATAAATAAATATTTAAAATAAATAAATGATAAGGTCAGGAGTAGAGAACTTAAAGCATTCTGGAGTGATGTTGGCTCATGAACTTTTTCGTTTGATTTTAGTATTCCAGAATGAAGTCCTGGGAACACTACAGCGGGGCAAGGAGGAGAACATTTCTTGTGACAATCTAGTCCTAGAGATCAACTCTCTCAAGTAAGAGCAGCCCTTCCCTCTGCTCCTGTCTGCTGGGTAATCCCAGGCAGGTAGAGGTTCTCTCCTGTTTCTTTCCCAGATAGGAACTGATTCCCTCAACGTCCCAAGTGAGCAAGGCTAGTAGAGAATTAGGATGATTCAAGGAGAATGTTAGGTTCTGGCCTCAGCATAGACTTCCCTCTTCCAAAGTCTTCCCCTTGCATGTTGTTCCATCTGACTTCTCCCCCAGTGTCCTGTCAAAGTCATGGTCCTACAAGCAAGCTGAAAGGGCCAGTGAAGGCCCTGGTGTCACCCCAGTCTTCCCACAGATACGCCTACAACATAAGTCTAAAGGAGGTGATGCAAGTATTGAGCCACGTGGTCCTGGAGTTCCCCTTCCAACAGATGGATTCCCTGCTGGACCCAAACCGTTACTGCGCCCTGCTGCTTCCCGTGAGTAAAGATGGGCTGGAGACAAGAGATTGGGTGGTGGCAGATCATCGTTCTTGCTGTGTTTCACTTTAAAGGAAATAGGGAGTAGAAGGTCTTACTGTGGGATATGTGTTACTTGTGGTTCCTTTCTCCTTGCCTCTGGGTATAGATTGGGTACAAGAGCAGCCCAAAGATATATCCAGAATAGTCCTAGACTTTTATACTCTCTGACTGAAATGATTTAGCACAGAATGAGATCAACCTTTAGGCCGGCAATAGGTATGTTGAGGCAGCCTGTAGCATCTGACCCCCTTTTACCTTCTCTGGGAAATCTTTTCTTTTTCACCAACCCTGACTGCCAGCAACTCCCAAGTCCCTCTGACATGATTCCTCAGGCCTGTATCATCTCCCGCTTGTTTTCCCATATCCTGATAGTCGTCTGTTATCGATATTGACTTTCTTTGCTATCTAGATGTAGGTGCATGCTCAGGAATATATTGCAGTTCCCTTCTCCTTTCTTCCATAGCTTCTCAAAGCCTGGAGTCCTGTTTTTAGGAACTACATAAAGCGTGCAGCTGATCATTTGGAAGCATTGGCAGCCATTGAGGACTTCTTCCTGGAGCATGAAGCTCTTAGTACTTCCCTGGCCAAGGTGAATACCTCAAGCCCCCTAGTCCTGCATTTGCTTTGAAACAGACCTTGGCTGCCTTCATGGAAACACAAAACAGGCTGACATGAATCCAGTATGGGGTTTGATTAATAGCACCATCTACCCCTATTATCATGCTGTTTGCTAGGATGTACAGCTTGGAGCCAGGCTAGTAAGGCAACCATTTGGTGATTATCCCAGGAACCAAACAAAAGTTCCAGGAGTTAAACCTATCCCAGTAGCAGAGTGAACAGCTCATTCTTGTCTATTTTTAAAGCAACTGCTTGGTGTTTAAAAGGAAGCTGATAGTTTGGTGGAAAGAGGTGCTAAGATCTCGCTTCCTCTTTCTCTGTTATCTATTATATCTTGCTGGATTCTTTGAGGTCCCTGAGATCTCCTCTGCTGGCCTTCTGCAGGTGCTGATGGCTTTCTACCAGCTAGAGATCCTGGCTGAGGAAACAATCCTGAGCTGGTTCAGCCAAAGGGATATGACTGATAAGGGGCAGCAATTGCGCAAGAACCAACAGGTGAGTCAGGCTGCCCTCCTGTGACCACAATGGTTGTCTGGTCCCTGGCTCTTGGTCATAGATTCCAGGGTGGTTGGTCCCTGGGACTCTGGCTGCTCAAGCTGTTTATCTGCTAAGGAGAACCGAAGGGTTATATTCCCCTTCCTCAATAGCTTTCCACTCTGCTTCCTTACAGCTGCAGAGGTTCATCCAGTGGCTAAAAGAGGCAGAAGAGGAATCATCTGAAGATGACTGAAGTCACACCGCCTGCTCCTACGGGTGTGTTGATAGCCCTCCCAGCTTCTGGACCAGAGCAAATGAGAGGCTAGTTGCTGAAGGATGAGTGATCACCATCCAAGCTGAGACTTAAAGGAGCAGAGGCTGGAACTACAGTATTCTTCCCACCGCCAGTAACCATGTGCCTCCCATCCTGACTGGGGAGTTGGGAAAAGGGAAGTTGGGCTGGAACAAAGCTCTGCCTAAAGAGGAGCAAGGCAAGCCCTGCAGTTAGAGGAAGCCCAGAGGAATATTTTTGTGCTCTGGCTTTCCCTCAGGGAACAGCAGAGAGCAACTGGCCCTTTCTGCTGCTTGTATTTGTTAATATTAAAAAAAAGAGAGAGAGAGAGGGGGATGTATTTGGTTTCTCTCCAACTCTGACTGATCAGCTCTTAAAATAGGTGACCAAAGAGTTCTGAACCTGGCAGCTTTTCCTTAACACCTGGGAGAGAGGGAGAGGAAGGGTGTTACTGCCACTAGGTGGTACTGTGGTGCCTTGCTAATTGACCATTGCCTTGGCTCAAGGGCAGTGAAAGGCCTAGATTCTTTTCCAGCCTCTGTGGACCAATTTGTGGTCCTGGAGTAGTATTCCTGAGCCTATTGCCATAGAGAGTCCTAATGCAAACACTTTCCTGCCAGAGGGTGATGATCCAAACATATGTAAAGTCCATTGACCAACTGCCAAGCTTTGTGCAATAGATGCAGTACAATTATCAGGGAAACTGGGATATTCAGCATCTTAAAGATAAGGAAGTTTGCTTAAGGTCTCAAGACTCTTGAGGAGCAAAGCTAAGGGCTTGAATCTCATAATCTAGAATTCTTTATGTTTCAGCATATTCAGTGTCTCAGTGAAGGGAAATTGCCTCCAGAGGCAAATATAACCCCAAGCCAGCAATGAGTATCCTAAGAACAGAGAAAGATCCTATGAAATGGCTTACTGTATGGTAAGCATTTTGCTAAATACTTTTCATGTGTTTAAACTTCATAGTAGACAATAGGTCATATCCCCATTTTCAGATGAAGAACCTAAATTTCAGAGAGGTCCCATAACTGGTCATTGATAAAGCTGGAGTTTGCCATTTTGCTCTTTTGTCCCCTTTAACTTCGACTATGAGACATGCTCTTCTGTCTCATCTTTTTAAGCTCTTCTTTGCTGTCCTAAAACCTTTACCCTATTGACACTTAAACTGTGGCAAATGTTACTGGTAACCAGTGATCCTCCTGGACATCACAGAAAATGGTTGCCATTATTCATTTTAGTTGGGTAAAAAGGAGTAAGCTGCGGAAAAGAATACTGAATTGTATTCAAGGGTGTGAATGGGCAGTACCGAGTATTTCTAAAGAGTAAAAAAACAGGATTTGGCTTAATTTACTTTTCTTGTTCAGTAAATCTCAGTTTCTGCTTTTTCATATGTAGGAACTAGTGCCTAGAGAGCATATGAAAGTTATGGCATGGACTACTAGGAGCTGTTAAATACAAATAACTTTAGGGCATCTCTGATTTGTACCTAATGGGTAGCAGAGATTAGAGGTGGCCTATAGAACTTTTTAGAAGGAAGAGATTCCTTCCAGAAGAGTAATTAGGGAAGGATTAGAGGATTGTGACACTTGAGTGGCCTAAAAGTAGGAAAGGGTAGAAGGGGATATTAAAAACAAAGCAAAGGATTTCCATTTAAATGTGGTATACTAAACACATGGGGTTTTGTTTTGTTTTGTTTTTTGTTTTACTTTTTCAAAAACCCCATTCAAATGCCAGTAATGAAATTCTTCAAAAAAGGCGCATGACTCAATAAGGAAAACCAGAGGTGATCGCAATGAATAAGAGACATTAACATTTTGGAAAATGAAAAATAAATCAAAGAGTGAAAGTTGATTTAACAGAGCAGAATGAGATGGGTTCTCTCTGCTGAGGTGGTTATTAACAAGAAGCAAACCCAATGTGCCCTTTTGAACCCAGAAGAGGTTCAGCAAAGGGGATAAGGATTGGGGCTGAGAATGGGGTGGGTGCAGGAGAATCAAAGATCTGTATAAGAAAAGGCCCCCCAGGTTTCTACCTCATCTGGTTTAGCCAGGTAATTACCCCAACTGTCCTGCAAGAAATGGGAGATTTAGTCTGAAGAAATGGAGAGGAAATTATAAAAGAAATATTTATGAAGTTTTCTTAAACCCAAAAGGCAGGACTTTTCAGACTAACAGCTCATGAGTGCCCAGTAGAATGAATGAAATAGCCCCATGAAATTTCAGAACTTTAAGGAAAAGATATTAGAGCCTCTGGACTCAAGAGCAGACATGGGGATGGGGGTGAGGGGCTAGATTGGAAATGAGGGATTAAGTGAAAGTGTTATGAGTGGTAGGGCTCTGAATATCAGCACACACCAGGCAAAAACAAGCTGAATAAGTGCAGGGGAAAAAAAGCCTTTCAATACTTATACTTTTTGTTTTCTCAAAACCAAAAACCATCTTTACCCTATTTGATCATCGTACAGTGAATCCTGTTAGTTAAAAAGCCCTGTACCTCGACAGAGCTTCCAATCAACTTTTTAGTATTTCACTCTTAAATGTGAATAGACTGCCAGTGGTTATCAAACATTTGAGGAAACTTTGAACATGAAAGGCAGAGACCAAAACAAAATTGAAACCAAGGAAACCATGACAAAGTAGGGAGTTATTTGAAAACCTTAGGGAGGGGGGAGAGCTATAATTATTCTCAAAAAATATTGTGTCTGAAGAAAGTACTATGAAAAGGGAGAACTAGGTAACAAAAATTTTTTTCAAACAAGTTTTTAGAAATTAAGTAAATTGTTTCCTACTGAGAATTGGAGGACTAGAGAACTGAATAGGATGGAGATGTCATCCATCCTTATGTAGTTGAATTTTGAGTTGTGACATTTTACCTATCCGATTGGATAGGGGAAAGGTTGGAAATAATGTTAAGAAAATCTTGCAAAAAGATGCAGTCATTCAAAAATAAAAGGGAACGGTTGATAAAGGAAGAATCTAGAAGGTCCAACATCTAACAAGTTGTAAAAAGTATGGGGAAAATAGTAGTGATGTTACTAAGTAAGGAAATATTGTTGAATTTCTCGATGGAAAGGACTCACTAAGTGCCTAGCACAGTGAATAAGCACCAAGATATATCGCCATGAAATTTCAGAACCTCAGGAATAAAGGGAACTTCTAAAAACTTACAGAAAGAGTAAAAACAAGTCATGTGCAAAGCCTTAGGGAAAAATAGAGATCTAACTGCTTAATAGCAACACTGGAAGCTGGAAGACAATGTAGTGATACCTTCAAAATTCTGAAGGAAAATTACTTTCAACTCAATCATGTTTTCAGATTTGCAAGTTCTCAAAAGGGGTTTTATTTCCCATACTCTCAAAGTAAGCCACCAAAGGGTGTGCTTTACCCAAAGCAAAGGAGTAAAAAGTATCCAGGAAATGGGGATCCAACACAGAGGAGAGGTAATTCAGAACATGACGCAGAGAAGTCCCAGGGTGAGAGCTGTGCATAGGCTGAGACAGCCAACAGTGCTGACCAGAGCAAGAGAGCGGAAGGTTCCTAGTGAGAAAATGGTTGGATAATCTAATATATTTGACTATGTAAACAATATGTATTGAGAAACTTAGATTATGTAGTAAGACTTAATGGTAGATATAAAAAAGCAAATGAAAAAGGAAGGCTATGATTAATGCCAGCAGAAACAAAAAGTTGTGAAGGAAGCATTTACTCAGTGAAAATGTCAATACTAAAATCTATACTGATTTAACCAAAAAGGATAATTTTACTATTTTAAGAGGCTAGGGGGAAGGTGGAAGAAAAATCCATCAATGAAAATTGGAAGTAATATGCAATATCTAGAATGTATAGATCAAGAAATAGTATAAACTTTAAAAGTATACTGGGGTAGGGAGGAAAATGGGACAGAGAAATGCTGTTAAGAGCTTAACATGCACATATATTCAATTTAAAAAAGAGGGTATGAAGTGAAAATGCACAAGATATGTGCAGGTACTAGCAATTAGGTTGATTTGCCGAAGTAAAAAATATAGCCAGCATATTATGAAACAAAAAGCTGTAGAGGTTGGCAGTTTAGATTATGGAGAGTTTTGAATACAGTGCTAAGAATATTTGGAAGGCACTGGGGGAATGTCGAGAGGTTCCTGAGCAGAAGAGTTGTGTGGAAGAGGTACTTACTCTGAAAATGCTAATTAGACAAGGATACAAAATGGAGTGGGAGGAGCCCACACTTGTTACTGTGGCCTTAAAAGACCTATGTGGTCTAGTCCCAGCCTATGTTTCCAGCCTCATCTACCACTATCACTAAAGTCACAGTGGCCTCCTTGTTCCTCAAATTGGGAGAGAGTTATTTGTGCCTCGAGTCTTTATATTTGGCCATGCCCTCTGCTTGGAATGCTTTCCCCCCACACCAGACCCTCTTATAGCTGCTGCTGCTTCCATTCTGTCTTAGCTCAAAGGGAAGAGGCCTTCCCTAACCACCCATAATTCTCTTCTCCCTTTTACTATCACATTACTCCATTTTATCTTTTTCATAGCATTTGTCACTCTGAAGTTATTTATTACAAGCTTGTGTGCTTCTTTTCAGATCAGTGAAAGTCCTGAGAGTAGTCTTACCTGTCTTGTTTTGCTTTACCCCCTACAGTATGCCTTGCACCTAAATGGACACTTTATTGAATGAATTAAAAACTAAGGGGTGAGAAAATCTATTAGGGACCGATTACACCTAGTTCTGGTTTCTTACTGTCCCAGTCATGCACTCATTTTCATTTTTGCACTCGTTCTGCATCAATCCATTTATTAAGCCACTGCTTTGCACCTAGGTATTGTATTGAAGTTATAAGAAGAAATCAGAACTCGATCCCATTCTGTCCTCAAGGAACTGTTTGACAGACTCAGTGACAGCAGCTATGCTTTTCAAAAGACCCTAAAGGGCCATGTGGAGGTCACTTTCCTCCATTGATACCTGGTCAGAATCACACACACACACACACACACACACACACACACACACACACACACCCCAACTCTGGGGACCAAAGTGACCCCTGTGTTACACCCGTCCCAGGCTGCTGAGGAACAGCCGATAGATCCCCCCCTGGGTCCAGAGCCGGGGCCTTGGTGAGTCCGGGAACGTAGCCACCCTGGTGAGATCTACCCTTCCTTTCTGGGGGCCTAGGCGACTGCCGCCAATCTCCCCGCGGGCCTGGGACCTGAGCGCCTGAGGCCAAGCTTGCAGCTCGGCGGGTAGGCTGTGTGTCCGCAGGGCCATCTGCGGTGAGGCCAGCGCGGCTCGGCGGCGGACGGGGGCGGGGCTCGTGCTGGGGCGGGGCAGCGCCCGGGTCGGGGGAGGGGAGCGGGCCCAGCCGCAGCCCAGAACCCGGAGGGCCGCGGCCACCGGAAGAGTCGTAGTCGCCAGCCGAGCCGGGAGAGTGGGGAGCGGAAGCGGCGGCCGCGGCAGCGGCAGGCGGCGCTGGGACCCGGGAGCGGCCGGAGAACAAGGGAGCTGGCGCCGCGGCCGGCTGCCGAGCGAGGCTGAACCGCTGGGCCGCGCCGAGCGCCGTCGCCGCCCGAAAGGCCCGGCCCGGCCGCCGGAGCAGGCCGCGCGCGGGCCCCGGGGCCCGAGGCCGGAGCCATGGGCGAGACCAAGATCATCTACCACCTGGACGGGCAGGAGACGCCGTACCTGGTGAAGCTGCCCCTGCCCGCCGAGCGCGTCACCTTGGCGGACTTTAAGGGCGTTCTGCAGCGACCCAGCTATAAGTTCTTCTTCAAGTCTATGGACGACGATTTCGGGTGAGGATGGCCCCCGCCTCACCTCTGGGGGACCCGGGCCCCTCCGGCTTCTCGCGGCCCACTCAGCCAGTTTGGACTCCCCTTGCTACACTGGCTTCTAGCCCTACTAAGGATTCTAGGGGCGACTTGGCCATTTGGGCCGCCTCTTTCAGCTGGAGTTCCAGCCTCTTTAGGGATTCTCCTTTTGCCTCTTATGGGGGACCTAGGCCCCCCTAGTTTAGGAGGACGACCAACTCCCCAAGAGCAACCGGAGTTCCGAGCCTCCTCACCTCCTCAGAGACCAGCGGCCCACTTACACACACACCCCCCTCCACCCGATTCCAGAGCCAGAGTCCCTAACCTTCCTCCTGCCATGGGAGCCACCTTTTAGCATAGACTTAGGATGTTTGGCACTCGGCCTTCTCCTTCTCCATCTTTTCAGCTCCACGACTCAGAGCCATATTTGGAGTAGTGCTTCCAGGGGCTTTGCTGGGGACTTTGAACTGGAGGGAGGGGGAGTTGGGGGGGCTCAGGGACTAAGGCTGCAAGCTAAGGTCAGCAAACCTAATGTTAATTTAGCTGTCTCCCCTCCCTTGTGGGGTGTTCGGGATGTTGTCAGAGAATCAGAGTGCCTGACCCCTGAGAAGTCCCCACTAGCCTAGGTACTGATTTCCCTTCAGAACTGGGGCCTTTTTCCTCCCGATGGTGGCCAAGGGGGAGACCTTGGAAAGGGCCTCAGAGCCTGGATGGGAGGGCCAGAAAGAGTCTTTTAGTGTTCTTCATCTTCCCCTCTCTGGCGGGGTCTTCTCCACCCAGCTGCAGGGCTTTGGACAGGCTGAGTTTGGAAGCAGCGACTTTCCCTTTAAGAGGGGATGGAATGTTTTAGCCGGAAGGTTCTGTAGCAGCTGGCCTGGGAGGGGGAGCCTGGCCCATCCCCTCACAACCCCCCCCCCCATAACTCCCAGGGGACTGGGGGAAGGGGAGGCCCCCAGGCTTGCCTGCCCCACACTAACTGGGCACTGGGCCTGGAGGCCTGTAGGGAAGGCCTTCCCGGGGCCCTCTAGGCCTAAAGGCTGTCTCTCCTGCCCTAGCCTGAGGCCTGCACTGCTCTTTGGAGCTGAGGCCCCAGAGCTGAGTGAGGGGAGATGTTCTCTTCCCCGGTGTTGATATTTCTGGCTTCTCCTCCAAGACCCCTGCCCTCCTGGCCCTGGAAAGCAAGCATCTTCTCTCTCTTCTGCCTCGCATGTTTTGCTGTCACCTTTCCCCATGGAACTCAGGGTTTGATGAGCCCATGAGATCCTATGTGTGAGAACGCTTTGTGCAGTGGGAAGTGCTATGCAGCTTCTGACCAGCCCTGTTTCTGTTGTTGTTCCTACCCTGAGGTGAGGTACTTGTAGTGTAGTAATCATTGTCTGGCTTTAGTCCAGGGACAGACACTCCTGATTGGAAGATTCTGAAGAGGGATCGATCTGCAAGGGGTGAGAGTGAGGGGGCAGATGCTTTGGTCTGGTAAGAGAAAAACAAAGCTGGAAGAGACCAAGATGCTGCCACAGGGTATGGGATAGGGGAAATCAGTTAGAGTCCAGTGTGCTGGGGTCATTTGCCTTAAGGGACTAGGGTAGGCCTGTGTCTCCACTCCCAACTCACCCCTGAACCCACTGGGCTTAGCTCCCACCTCCTAAACCTAGACCTCTCTGGGCTGCCTCCCACTCCGCCCGGGCTGCTATCAAGCCAGGCCTAACTACAATCATAGTTACATCTGCTCACTGTTGACTTAATACTATTCTTTAAATCCACTGTCAGCCCACTCACTCCTTCTTAGCTTGACCCAGTCAGTAATATGAAATCACAGGTCTGATTTTCTATTTGTATTTCTTTCTAAAATATGTTAAAAAAAAATACTTAACTATTGCATTAAATATTCATCAGGTACACCTGAAGTGATCTTGCATACATTAGTTGTACTTGAACCATCGTTTGCAAAATGTTATAGTAGACTGTTTTAACAGAGTTGAGAACAAAGCTAAAGGAGGAGATTGGTTTTGTTTTTATCCCCAGAAGGATTAATGAGCAGGAGACGTGGTAGGGCTGTCTTGTCACAGGACTAGTAGCTAAGAAGTATATATTTATTTCATGTATTTAACAAATTCTTTTTATGGTACTTTGGTATACATGCACTGATCTAAATGCTTTTCAAATCTTTATTTACTCAATCATCTTAACAGCCCTATGAAATAAGTAGTAATATCCTCAGTTTTTACATGAAAAAACTAGAGCACAGAAAACTTAAGTAATTTACCCAAGGTCACATAGCTGGTAAGTGGCAGAGCTTGATTTTACATCAGGAATCTGGCTCCAAAGTCTAAGACCTTAATCACACAATTGTAGGTATTATTATCACTGTTTAACAGACACATCCTCTCCAAAGGAGATGCTGAGCCTTGGCAAACTGTAGAGATGATAGGGTTGCCACTTCTCCTAGCCCCATGAGACCAGGGTCGGGCAGAGGCCAGCAACCTCTGCTGACAGATGGAGAGTGGGTCAGAGGAGGAAGGCTGCTCTCCAGGCTCAGCCTCTAAGGTTCTGGCTTATAAGGCCTGAGGACTCCCCAACTCCCATCTGGTCTCCAGAAGTATTTGTCAAGCTAGGGTAGGCCCAACCCTCTTAAATTACTTGGATAACGGAGGAAGAATAAACATTTTCACCACTGAGGGAGATGGTGGATGAATATTAGAGTGGCCTTGAGCTGTAGGTAGGAGCAACATGGGAAGTTGGGCCACTATGTTCCTGCCCACTCCATATCACACACTGCCTTGCCTCTGCACTTGGTACTGAGAGCACACTCCTCTTGTCTTCCCGGGGCCAAATTTTCCCATCCTCTGGGTTTAGCTTTTAAAGTTATTACACTTTATCCTGTTTACCCTTATACCAATTCAGCTCCTAGCCAGGACATGACACCAAAGACACCTACTCAACAGACATCTGTCCAACGAACACATCTGCTGCTCTTGTGGTTCTGACTACTTCCCACTTGCCATATACTTGTGTGAATTGTCCGTTGGGCCATAACCTCCCAGGACAAGGCAGGCTCTTGGTCTGATGCTTCTTGAGGTTTTATACAATGGCCAGCATAGGATTTAAAACCTGCTGGGCTCTTAGCAAAGGCTTTTTAATTGAATGGACAAAAGTGAGCAGATTTGTTTGGTCCCTGCCCTTAGAAATTTACACATAGTTGGAAAGAAAGAATAGACCCTGCTAAAAATTGACACGGTTAGTAATTAGCTTTTATTGTAATCCTAGACCATGCCAGGCGTTTACAAATCCCACTTACCAGGACAAGACAAAGGCTTGGAAAAGTTAAGAAACTTCTCTGAGATAGGAGGGCTAATAAATGGCAGAATTAGAACCCAGATTTGTCCAACTCTGCTTGGAGTGTGTGTGTGTGTGTGTGTGTGTGTGTGTGTGTGTCTGTGTGTGTGTGTGGCATGGAACTCTGAACCATTCATCTCCGTGGTGTGAGGGGGAGGCTTGTCTGAGGTCCCCCAAGGCTGCTGCTGAAGATCAGCTGATCCTTGTGAGTCAGCAGAGCCTTGGCGACCTGTCGGTGACCCCTAGAAAGAGAGGAAACATCTGTAGCGTGGAGCTGTGTGGTGGGGCCTGCTGGGGGAGTGAGTGGTGGGGACTCAGCAGCAGTTTCCCACTACAGGGAGACCCTCTCCAGAGCAGGTCATAGTCTCTGCCATTTGGCCCACATACCCCATTTTCCTGTGAGTCCCAGTTCCCCTTGTGGGCTGCAAGTTTAGGGTACCCTATGGCCAGATTGGCTGGTGAGTCTGAGCTACTTCCATGTCCCTTCTTTTCAGCATGTTCTGTCACTAGGCTTTCTGGCATCATGGGCCTGACTTGTGATGCTTTCTTGGGGTCTTTGTGGGGTTGGAAATGGTGTAGGAGCCAGAGCTGGATGGGAGGGAGAAGGGCAGGCTCAGTCTTCAAACTTGGCTGTGAGTCCAAGAATGTGAGCATCACAAGGAGCCAGGCATGTTCCCAGCTCTAGGCAGAAGCTGCTCCAAGAACAAGGAAGGACTAGGCTTCCCAGCCTCCTTCCTTGCTATCTTCCCTCTCTGCTCACAATCCCAGGCACATGTCTTCCTCTTGCCATTGATGGCATCTTTCCAACTCTGTACTCCTAGGGTGTTTGACACAGTCTGGGGGTCCCCAAACTGTAGTCATAGTCTGACTTCTCACCTTGATGCACCCCTCAAGCCAGACTACATGCCTGTATACACATCCCACGCCTGCCATGCCCCACATCCCTGTCTCCCCAACCCTTACCCACCACAGATCCACATCACCTCTCACTGTACAGGAAAGAATGCGAAGTACCGTGGGAAGAGCATGGGTTTTAGAGTCAGGCAAGCTTGGGGTTGAATTTTAGTTCTGACGTCTTTCTGTTCTGTGGCCCTGGGCAAGTTACTGAATGTTTCTCCATTTCTTTACTCAAAAAGAGGATATTGTCCACACAATGAAGGTGATGTGAAGATTATACATTCTAACTATAGGGAGATAAGATGGTGTAATAGGTAAGAATAAAGGCTAAAGAGTCAGGCTGACCAGGATTCAAACTCCAGCTCTTCTTGGTGATGTAACTGTAAGTGAATTTCTGAACCTACTAAGTCTTAATTTCCCCATCTGTATCTATCTCAGCATTGCAGTGAGTATTAAATGAAATGAAATAAGCAAAGTGCTTAGCTTAGTGCTTGGCCCATGATACATGCCCAGTAAATGAGAGCAATTTGTTGCTATTACCATAGTGGCAGTGGAGGATGTTCAGTAAATACCTTTTTCCCTTCTCTTTCCTAATTTCCTTAAACTCCTCATCCACACCTTCCAGAAGAATGTCAGGATTCCCAACTAAGAAGGGAAAGAGAAATAAGGGTGTACTTTTTCCTAGCTTAGGGTCAGAGGGAAAGAATAGGTCTAGCCCAAAAGAGCTATGTTGGGGCTAGGTAAAGCCCTTTCGAGATTTTAGGGAATGGCCACACTAGGGGGGACAGCAATTTGTCAGGTGTAATTTGCAATCACCTGATGACTGAGAGGACACTCTAGGGCAGCAGCTGGCCTGGGCAGGGCTGGTGTCTTCCTGGTGGTGCTAAAGAGCTGTCCTTGGGTGACCCCCACTTCTGCTCCCATTTGAAAGGCTTAGGCTGGTGGTTTGATTCCCAGGTTAGGGTGGAGGACCCCCTGAGTTAGGATTGTGAGGACACTTCCATTTCCACCCCAGAAAGCTCATTCTGACACCCCCACCCTTTCCCTGCAGAGTGGTGAAGGAGGAAATCTCTGACGACAATGCCAAGCTGCCCTGCTTCAATGGCCGTGTGGTGTCCTGGGTAAGGAGCTCTCCTCAGCACCCCCTCCTCCTATATTCCTATGGTGGGCTGGACAGAGGAAAAGCATTGCTAAGATTGTAGCTGGTGGTTTTATGCTTCAATATCTGAATCTTCCTTGAGTTTTCTACCTGAACTGTTTCTCCCCTCAGATTATGTAGCCTTGGTGAAAGGTTAGTTGGCCGGGGGTAGGGGGAAATGTGGGACATTGTAGGACAATGTCTCCTATGCCTTTTGAAGCACTTTGCCTCAGATTCCAGCCAACCTCTCTTTTGGACCACTGACCCTTGTTCCCTGCCCCCATGCCACTTCCAACAACCCATGCCTCCCATCCCCCCATCAGTGCTGGCAGCACTGAGTCCATTCCTTCCCTCAGCTGACCTTGCACAGTCCTGTCTCTTCTTCCTCCATGTCCCCTGCTTCATTCTCCCCAAGTCTGCATGCCCTTCGAGAAGCCATCTGCTATTTCCCTGGCGCCCCTGTACCTACTACCCACCCATTCTTTCCCCATCAGTTGGTGTCTGCTGAGGGTTCACACCCAGAGCCTGCTCCCTTCTGTGCTGACAACCCATCGGAACTGCCACCACCCATGGAACGCACAGGAGGCATTGGGGACTCCCGGCCCCCATCCTTCCAGTGAGTGTGACCTCAGAGTGGAGAGGGCCCTTGGGGAAGGGCCGCATCAGCTCAGCCCAGGGCTGGGGGAGGGAGCCCCCAGCCCTGCCCCCTCTCCCACCAAGTCTTCTCTTCCCTGCAGCCCTCATGCTGGTGGAGGCAGCCAGGAGAACTTGGACAATGACACAGAGACAGACTCCTTGGTGTCAGCCCAGCGTGAGCGGCCACGCAGGAGGGACGGCCCAGAACACAGTGCGTCTTCCCTAAACAGACGCCTTCTCCACTCCTCCATTCAGCTGCCCTCAGCCCTGTTCTGAGCTCTGGATATGCCTAGCCCCGGTGCAGCCCCTAGCCCCTCCCTGTGTCTGTCCTTCCCTCCTGCGTTGACACTGTGAACCCAGCTGCCTCTATTCCCTACAGCAACCCGGCTAAATGGAACTGCAAAGGGGGAGCGGCGGCGAGAGCCAGGGGGTTACGATAGCTCATCCACCCTTATGAGCAGCGAGTTAGAGACCACCAGCTTCTTTGATTCGGATGAGGATGACTCCACCAGCAGGTGGGGCTTTGGTTTCATTGGTACTATGGGGCAGGTGACCGCCCCTCCAAGAGCCCTGACCCCTAAGGATGCTGGGACCCTGGGAGGGCTGTGGGCTTTGCGTGGGGGACTTGGGCCCTGCAGTGCCTCTTGTGGGGCAGGGCTGGGCCAGCCTGGTGGGGAACGACTGTGGGCCCCCCAGGTTCAGCAGCTCCACAGAGCAGAGCAGCGCCTCACGCCTGATGAGAAGACATAAGCGGCGGCGGAGGAAGCAGAAGGTTTCGCGGATTGAGCGGGTATGGGGCCTGAGATGCCAGGGATGGGTGGGGGCAGACTGAGCCCTGTCCAGGCATTTCCAGGGTGTGTGCTTCCTTAGACCCTCTCCTATTGGGCCAGGCTTAGAGGCTTAGAGGGGAGGGGGTACTGAAGGCTCCCCTTGAGGAAGAGCTAGGTGGGAACAGTGAGTTCTTGGGACCCCTACCTGCTGCTCAAGGCCTCTATCTATTCCAGTCCTCGTCCTTCAGCAGCATCACGGACTCCACCATGTCACTCAACATCATCACAGTCACTCTCAACATGGGTGAGTCTGGTGAAACAACTCTTGAACATTTATATACCAGACACTGGGCAAACTTGAGGAGGTCAGAGAGGCATAAGATACATTCCCTGCCCCCGAGGAGCTCTCTCATAAACATAAACTGGTACATAAACTGATCATTTCAGTATCTCATGATCAGGGCCTTGACAGAGATCAGCATAGAGAGTTGTAGAAGCAGAGAATGGCAAGGAAGGCTTCCTGGAGGAAGTGATTTCTGATTCTTATCCCCCTTCCCATTTTTCAGCCATTGCTTGTTGCTCTCTGATGTCTGTCATAGGCACTCTCTTTAGGAAATAACTGGCTATAGTTATTCCCAACCTTGGAATTTAAGCCCGAGTTTGAATCCTGCCACGTAATGGCTTAGAAAAGTCATTGAAGCTCTCTGAACCTCAGTTGCCTGTTTTGTAAAATGGGACTAAGAGTCCCTGTGGCAGAACTAACAAGGATTAAATGGAAATATTCTTGACCATCCTGAACACAGGACCTGATTCAGGTTCAATGAATGTTAGTTCCCATCCCTTTCCACCCTTTACTAATAAAGGGCTTGGAATTTAGGTAGGAACCTTGTTCCCCTCTTAAGGTCTTATTACTCTCTATAGAAAAGTACAACTTTTTGGGCATCTCCATTGTGGGCCAAAGCAACGAGCGTGGTGATGGAGGCATCTACATCGGCTCTATCATGAAGGGTGGGGCTGTGGCTGCAGATGGACGCATCGAGCCAGGAGATATGCTGTTACAGGTACCACTGCCCACCCGGCGTGGCGGTGTGGGTGGGGAGAAGGGAGATATTCCTACCCTCTGTACCCTGCTCATTTAGAGGCCACTTCTTGGTAGGGGGAAGACCTCCTGATCCACCAAGCTCTGCTTCCCTACCCACCTCCCCAACCCAGCTGCTTATCCCACTCCTGGCCCTCTCTCCCAGGTAAACGAGATCAACTTTGAGAACATGAGTAATGACGACGCAGTCCGGGTACTGCGGGAGATTGTGCACAAACCGGGGTACGGATGGGATGGGATGTTGGGAAGGAGGGGGCAGGCATTTCTGATTCTCAAGCAAGGGGGTTGGTCTGGCCTCCACACATCCTGCCCTCACTAGGGTCATCCTTGCTTTCAGGCCCATCACCCTGACTGTAGCCAAGTGCTGGGACCCAAGTCCACGTGGTTGCTTCACACTGCCCAGGAGTAAGTGGATGGGGGACTCAGCCCTAAAGCCGGTGCTTGGCATACATGAGCCCCCTGTCTCTCCTTCCTTCTGTGTTGCCTTGAGCCCTCATACCTACCCTGTTGGGCCTGGCAGTGGACAGGGTAGGCGGCCCCTGACCTCTCATCCTCCCTGCAGGCGAGCCCATCCGGCCCATTGACCCTGCCGCCTGGGTCTCCCACACTGCAGCCATGACCGGCACCTTCCCTGCCTATGGCATGAGCCCCTCCCTGAGCACCATCACCTCCACCAGCTCTTCCATCACCAGCTCCATCCCTGATACAGAACGTGAGTGTCCAGCCCTGCCCCCTAGGCCCAGCCAGATGGGGCAAGGTGGGAGGGACTGATGAAGGCCCACGTGGAAACTCTTGCTTAAAAGTGAGAGGGAGGGGCGCCTGGGTGGCGCTGTCGGTTAAGCGTCCGACTTCAACCAGGTCACGATCTCGCGGTCCGTGAGTTCGAGCCCTGCGTCAGGCTCTGGGTTGATGGCTCAGAGCCTGGAGCCTGTTTCCGATTCTGTGTCTCCCTCTCTCTCTGCCTGTCCCCCGTTCATGCTCTGTCTCTCTCTGTCCCAAAAATAAATAAAAATGTTGAAAAAAAAATGAAAAAAAAAAAAGTGAGAGGGAGCTGGGAGTTCATCCTAGCTACCTCACACTGCAGCTTCCTTCAGTGGACACCTAACCCTCACTAAACAGTGTTTGCTTCTGGACCTGTATTGAGCATCCAGTGAGCCTGTTTCCTCTAGTAAAACAGGACTAACGATACATAGTCTACCAGGTTCCTGGGGGTTTAATGAGAGAATATAAGTGAAGCCTCAACCACAATATGTGGCATGAAGTAAGCACTCAATAAATGACTGCTGTTTTCATTATAATACACATATTCTATGCTAAGCATCTTCATTTATATTATTTCTCTCTTCAGATATACTCTTCGAAATAGATATTAAAGTCCCTATTTTTACAGAGGAAACTGAGTGTCCTAGAAATCAGTAATGTGCCCAACATTGGTCCACAATTATTAGATGGTAGAGCTGCGATGCAAATTCTTCTCTACCTAACTCTATAACCCCTTTCTGCCTCACCATTCTGCCTCCCACCCCTAGGCCTAGACGACTTCCACCTATCCATCCACAGTGACATGGCCGCCATCGTAAAAGCCATGGCCTCCCCTGAATCTGGGCTGGAGGTCCGTGACCGCATGTGGCTCAAGATTACCATCCCCAACGCTTTCATCGGTGAGAGGGCCCCATGGTGGGATGAAGGCCGGGGTGGGGAGTGATGGTGCAGGGCAGGCTGGGGGCTAAAGTGGCCCTCGGGCCACTCCTTTGAGCTAGAACCAGCCCCAGCCTTATGGCTCTTGTGAGGTCAGATGAGCCCAAGTCAGGTGGGCCTCCCCATCAAGTGGCTGCCTTGCCTCCAGGCTCAGATGTGGTGGACTGGCTGTACCACAACGTGGAAGGCTTCACTGACCGGCGAGAGGCCCGCAAATATGCCAGCAACCTGCTGAAAGCCGGCTTCATCCGCCACACTGTCAACAAGATCACCTTCTCCGAGCAGTGCTACTACATCTTCGGTGACCTCTGTGGCAGTATGTGCCTCCCCCACCTCCTTGCTCTGTCTCCTGGCTGGGAGTGGGGAGGTGCCCAGGGATGTGGCAGCAGACTCCAGGGAACCCACACAAAGCGTGAGCAGGCAGCTGAGCTGGGGGCCCAACTCAAGGCCTGACACAGGCCTCCCTCTCTAGTAGAAGCAGAGCCAAGTCAGGCCTTTTCACCTTCTCTGCGTCCCCTCTTGGGGCTGGCATTTTCTAAGTGCCTGATGTGTTTCTGGCACCATGCTGGTTGTTTCTAAGCAGCATATCACTCTCAGTCCTCACAACCTCCACCTCCTCACCCTTGGGTGAGGTGGATCACTATCCCTATTTTAGCTGAGGAAACCGAGAGTTAGAGATGTTAGATAGTCCACCCATTCTCACAGCCAGAAGCAGAGTTAGGCCTTGGGGATCCAGGTCTTTCTGGCTCCAGAGTCCTCATTTTTACCACCATCTGGGGCTACCTAGGTGTGTGGTATTGCAGAAACATTGTCTTAGCAAAGTCAAATGCAGATCCTCCTGTTGGCCCCTGATCAGCCTCTAAGCATCAAGCAGGTTCCACCAGGGCAAGACCTAGGGCTGCCCTGAGGCCCCACATCCCCAGCCTCTTCATACCCTTGAGGCTAGGCTGGACCTTGGGACAAAACTAGAAAAGCTGTCAGGGCCAGCTTGTAGAGGACTCTGCAAGCTGCATTTAGCAGTTTGGACTTGATCCTGAGAGAGTGCAAAGCCAGTGAGGGTTTTTAAGGAGGAGAGGTCTCAGGGAACCCCCCCCCCCCCCACTTCTCCTCCTGAGCACATAGACACACCTTGGGAAGGAAGGGGAGTTCTCAAAACAGGACATTTCAGGACTTGGAGCATTCCCAGCAGCCACCTCTGCCTCAGGGAGCCTTTTGTCAGCCTAGGGTGCTTGCTGGCTGGAGTCCAAAAGCTAACCTTTGTGTGTTGTTTTTTATTTTTGTTTTTTTTAAGTTTATTTATTTCTTTTGGGAGAGAGTGAGAGAGAACAAGTAGGGGAAGGGCAGAGAGAGAGGGAGAGAGAAAATCCCAAGCAGGCTCCGCACTATCAGCGCGGAGCCCGATGTGGGGCTCAAACCCACAAACTGCAAGATCATGACCTGAGCTGAAGCCGAGAGTCAGATGTTTAACTGACTGAGACACCCAGGTGCCCCCAAAAGCTAACTTTTAAAATGCTTCAGATTAGGTTCTAGGATTAGAAAGGCTGTTGCTGCAGAGCACAAGTCTGTGGTGGATGCATAGGGTTTTAGAGTTGGATAGCTCTGAGTTCAAATCCTAACTCCGCCCTGACTATGTAGACATGAGTAAGTGACACTGCCTCTCATTGTCTCAATTCCTTGATCTGTAATTTGGAGGTAATAGTAGAACCTATTTTAGAGCTGTTTTGAGGTTAAGACAATGTGTATAATGCTTTTAGCACCATGTTTGTCCCACTGTAAGTGCTCTTAAAAAAAGTTCTTCATTTTTCATATATTTAATTGATTCTAAGGTGAACATTTTTTTCACATTGCAATATCTCTAAAGTTGGGGTACACCTTAAAATTAATGGCTTCTTAGACTCAATTCTATATGGTTATTATCACCATCATTAGCAGAAGTGAGGCCTAGCCCCAAACGTCTAGGGACACCTAAAGCTTCTCAAGACAGCTATGGTTTTTGCTCAAGAGATGTTGTTCTATCCCTGGGCCTCCTGGGTCTTCTTTCTACCCATGGGCCAAGGCCCCTAGAGGCCCAGTTCAGGGATATGCTAACAGAGGTCTTTTTCTTCTCACTGGCCAAGGTCTCCTCAGCTGGGAATGTGGCAGACTCAAAGGAAAGAGTTGGTGACCTGGGTAGCCAGCCCCAGGAGTCCACAGTTAACTCCCCTCAGGACAACTGGAGGCTGAAATAGTCACCAGCTCTTGGGGCATGAGCCAAGGCAGGCCCTTGCTTCTCACCAACCCCCACCCCCAGCCCCGTGCTAGCTGCAGGCCTTAACAGGTCGATGGCTTAGCTGGTAGACTCCACAGACTGCCTCAGCCCCCTCAGATCCCCCTCTCCTGACCAGGTCACATTAATACATTGAGATGAGTGCTGTGAAGAATGAGGCCTCCCTGGGAATAGAGTGGAGGGCACAGAGGAGGCACCTAAGTTGTTCTCTTTCTGAGCCCTTCCCACCTTCTCCAGCAGCACCAGAAAATTTATCTGGGCCAAGGGCTTTTGTATAGGGAGAATCTGAAAGGCCTATGTTCTTTCTGGCCTGTAATGGGTACTTTTTTTTAGTCCTAGGTGAAAGGAAAGGGCAAATTTTCACCTAAATTTCCCCAAACTGTTCCCTACTCCTTACTAATGACTCATCTGGAAAGGTAAGAAGAAAGGAAGCAACTCTTAGCTTCTGCTCTGGCTACAATTTGGATTGACCTCAGGCCAGTCATTTAACCTCCCTGGACTTCACTTTCCTCATCTGGAAAAAATGTGATAACATTTGCATGAGGTGAAGTGCTTTGTATTGTGCCTAATGAATCGCAGGTATGCAATACCTGTCTGGTATTTCAGCTTCCCACATTCCCCTACCTTTACCATCTAAGTGAACAAAGGAGAAAATTACCAATTAAAAGTTATGCTCCTTGTGGCCCACTAAGGAAGGAGGAGAAACTGTCAAATGCTTGGAAGGGGGCCTCCCTGAGACTGGGAGTTGAGCGTAAGGATTTGGCACTGAGCATCTGAAGTGGTGACTCAGGGCCCTCCTGAGGAGGGTTTTCCTTGGGGCTGTGTCCATAGGGTCTCCCTCTCCACCATCTAGGTGGGTGGCAGAGGGGGTGTGAAGAAGTGAGAGATCTCTGACCTATGCCTCCTCTCATTTGGGGGACAAACTACCACTGCTGTTGGTGTCATCGCAAATGTACCCACCCTACCTAGACTGGGGGACCTTTCTCTCCTGACCTAGGGGCATGACCCAGCTCATCTGGCCCTCCCCTCCCCTCTGCAGACATGGCCAACCTGTCCCTCCATGATCACGATGGCTCCAGCGGCGCCTCTGACCAGGACACGCTGGCCCCTTTGCCACACCCAGGGGCAGCTCCTTGGCCCATGGCTTTCCCTTACCAGTACCCGCCGCCCCCGCACCCCTACAACCCTCACCCAGGCTTCCCAGAGCTGGGGTACAGCTATGGTGGGGGCAGCGCCAGCAGTCAGCACAGTGAAGGTAAGGCAGGGGGCTTGGGGGTGGGGGGTGCACAGATGAGCCCCAAGCTTCTGCAAGATCTGAGCATCCCCCATCCTGTCCCTGCCTGTCCCCTACAGGCAGCCGGAGCAGTGGCTCCAACCGTAGCGGCAGTGACCGACGGAAGGAGAAGGACCCGAAGGCGGGGGACTCAAAGTCTGGCGGCAGCGGCAGCGAGTCGGACCACACAACCCGCAGCAGCCTGCGGGGGCCGCGGGAGCGGGCGCCCAGTGAGCGCTCAGGTCCTGCCGCCAGCGAGCATAGCCACCGCAGCCACCATTCAATGGCCAGCAGCCTGCGCAGTCACCACACGCACCCGAGCTACGGCCCCCCTGGCGTGCCCCCTCTCTACGGTCCCCCCATGCTGATGATGCCCCCTCCGCCCGCTGCCATGGGGCCCCCAGGAGCCCCTCCGGGTCGCGACCTGGCCTCTGTGCCCCCCGAACTGACAGCCAGCAGACAGTCCTTCCGCATGGCCATGGGAAACCCCAGTGAGTTCTTTGTGGATGTGATGTGAACAGGACCCCTCCCCCACGTCCATCCCACTCCCACCCCTGGGCGGTTGCGTCCCTCTCTATCCGTCCGTCTTTTTTACTTTGTCTGGTACCTGAAAGGGAAATAAATTGAACTAAATTCAGGCGCGCTAACTGCTCGCTGGGCGCAGCGAGGGCGGGGTGCACCCACCGATCGCCACTGCGGCCCCTAACCTGCCATCAGCCCCAGCTTGTCCCTCTGCTCGACTAACTGCTGCCTAGGACTTGCCAGGATCCTTCGTGTCACTGGGACCTGACTTGCTGGTGCTGCTCCTTATTCCCCACAAACACTTCAGGAGTTACCCCAGTGGTGCCCTTGAGGCCCTGCTCACCCCCTTCTCCCCGCCTTTTCCCCCTGCAACAACCTTGCACTGTTCAGTCAGCTACATCAGCCCTGTATTAACTGCATCTCCTCAAGCATGTGTGCCAATCTCTTGACTTTCCCCCCACAATACTGACACCAAAAAATATTTGCTCCATTTATTCCTCTTCCTAACTGCCCACCCCACCCCCATCGCTGCCCCAGTCCTGCACCCTAGAGCTATAGTCACTTATAATAACCATCCACACGATCCCTGCCTGTGCTGGCCTTCACTAGAGGCCCAAAGGACCCCCTTAGTTGCCTGAGCTGCTAGTGGCTTTCAGGAAACATATCTGTTCTACCCCTACATCCACACCCCCATGCCTGCCCTGTGTGCTGGTTCCTTCCGACCCCTAACCCTACTAACCAGCAGGCTCATCTCACCTCTGGGCCTGAAACATTTCTTTTCTTTCTTTTTTCTTCCCTCAATTTTTCCTGGGCCTGGAGCAGCCAAGAATTTCGGGCTGTTTGACTTTCTGTGAGCCCCCATCAAGGGGAGGCCCAGCCTCCGAGGAGACCAGGAACCCTGCTTCAGCAGCCCCTCAGGGCTTCCCAAGGATGTTCAGCCCCAAACCCACACTTCAACATGTTGAGTCACTAGGCTTTGTTGGAGGGTTCCAGCCTCTCACCCATGTATGAGAGACTGTTCCCCTTTCCACAGAGTGCCCATCCCACTCTCCCTTTCTCACTCTCTCACTCTGTCTCTCGCCCTCTCTCCTTCTCTCTCACACGCACACATACATACACAAACACATACACATACACGTGTCTGTGCCAGTTCACTTAAGCCTCAGGGCTGGTCCCTGCTCAGAGGGCTGGACCTTCTCTCTGAAGTTGTGGGGCTGGTCCCCTGACTTCCCTCTCCCCAAACCATCCACACATGTCCCCATCATCTTCCTGCCTGGATAAAGCCCATAAGCTGGATCTCAGGTCAGGCTCAGCAGAGGACTCCGTAAACAACTGACAGGCTGTTCTCACCCCACTTCCTACCCCAACACCCTTATTTCACAATAACCATGATACCCCAGAGAAAGGTTGGGCAGGGGGTCTTCTGGGACCTCTAAAATGCCAGGTTTTATTTTTTACCTTATTCTACAGTTTAAACAAATCATGATCTCTTTAAGCCTCTTCTATAAATTCTCCTGGCTCACCTAAGCTTCCATACTTTTAGGACTGAGGTGTCAAGAGTACAACTAAGTCTTAAGCTCCAGGCTTTGGGGCAAACCAGGGTAGGGACATTTTAACAAATACTTCTGGAGTTTTTGGTGCATAAGGGCTGTGCTGGAAGTGTGACTCAGTCTTGCCTGCCTTCCAGGAGCCCAGGCCACGGCTTTCTGTAGCCACCACTATAGGGCTGCCTCCTATACTTCTTTAACTTTTCTGACTCTGCCATGTTCAACTCCCTTGAGAATTCCTCCAGTATTGCTCATGCCTTCAATGTTGGTGCTCCTTGTGTTCTTTGGTTCACTTCTCTTTCCTCTATATTTACTCGCCAAATGGTGTCACCTATACTGATGTCCTCAATTGCCATTGATATGCTGGTGATTCTAAAACATGTATCTTCAGCCCCAACTTCCCTCCAAATTTTGGATCTGTATCATCACCCACTGGACATCACCATGGACATATCCATATGGACTCAACTCATTCCCCCATCAAGTGTGTTCCTCCTGAATTCCAATCCTGGTTATCTTCATCACACTGTATGTAGGCTAACCAGCTAGGAACAGTTATGGGCTTAAATTCTTCCCCCTATCTTTCTAGTCAGCATATCATATCCATTACACCCCAGCAATCTTTCTTGAATATGGTCCTTCCTTTCCCCTCTGCCTCTACTCTAATTAGGAGCATGGGACTTGGAGTCAGATTGTTCTGGGTTTGAATCCCAGCTCTACTACTTTTTGGTTTCATGATAATAGAGTTATTTAATCTCTCTGAGCCTCAATTCCCTCATGTAAAATGACGATAATAATACCTACCTCACAGGGTTGTTGTGAGGATTTAAATTAGATATTGTACGAAAAGTGCCTAGCACAGTGCCTGGCACATAGTAGAATAGGTGCTCAATAAATGGTAGCTATTATTATTATTATTATTATTATTATTATTATTTACTCTAAATTGGTAGGGCATGTATTGAAGATAGAGCTTTTGGAAAGGTAGCAGTGAAGCCTTGAGTGCTGGTTCAAGAGTTAGAAATGCCCATATTTGATCATTTAAGAGGTTCAGACTGTGACCACGGTTTGAGGGAGGCTAGATCTTCATCCTGCCACATCCTGACTTCTAGCAGGACAATGCTAGGGATAATGGGGTTTTCAACCAGGTTTGCCCTTTTTTGCCCTTCTTCCCATAATAGGCTCAGCTACAGGGAAGGCAGCAGGGTATCTCTCCCTGTTGAGAAGAGCTAACAGATTTTATTTAGGTCCTGCGAAAGCCAAGAAGGCCTTTCATGTTTGAGGGTTGGCTCTGTCTCTTCTCAGCTTGGATGTGAGGATTAACTCTTCAGAGAGGGCATTTCAAATTCCATGTCCAATTAAATTAAACTTGCCAACGTTTTTTTAAGCAACATATATGTCGGTCACTAGAAAGCACACGGGTCCTGGCCTTGAGGGGTCACATAGGTGTGCATAGCTGGGATAGAACAAACATTCTTGAAAAGCTTTGGCTAGTTTCTTACAAGTATTTGCCTCCTCGCTTCCTACCCTTTTCCTTGGGTCTTGATCCCTGGGAAAAGGCTCAAGTCTAGTACAAATATTTGATGAAAGAATCTTGGGAGAATCAGAGGTGGTGTTAGAAAGCAGTGAATTCAGACAAATACTTCCGCCAAGTCGTGTGTGTGTGTGTGTGTGTGTGTGTGTGTGTGTGTGTGTGTGTGAATTGAACACAGCCAGTCCTCGGACTCCGGAGACAGAAAAGGCCTACAGCAATCTGAGGCTTAACAGATGGGCTTCAACAAATGGCATTAATCCTCAGAGGCTCTCCATAAACACTGAACTAGGAACAGGAGGGATTCCAGACTACAATTCCCAGAATGCTCAGTGGGGAAAATGAAGGGAGTGGAGCAGCGTATGATGGGATGTGTATTTCGTGTAGGGCTGAATAAGGCCTCTCCTATCCCTCCCCAAGGCACTCCTACCCCGCCGAAGGCAGTCGGTCGTTGTAGTTTTGTTAAACCTGGGAAGCTTAAAATTGTAAGCAAAAAGGAGGAGAGGTTTGACGGGATTTGTAGTCGGCACGGTCTTCCGACGCGCAAGCGCAACTGTGGTTGGGGCGGGGCCGGGGCACTGCAGTGAAAGCCGAGGCAGCGGGCAGGCGAGCAGGGGGCGGGCGGACATCTTGGGATCTGGAGAGTGGCCGGGCAGGCTGAGAAGGGGGCCGCGGACACCAGGTGAGCTGGGGATCTGGCCAAGGGTAAGGGAGGATGCCTACCCCGCTGCCCAGCTTTGCCCTTCCCTGCACTACGCTACGCGGAAAGCTGCCCACACCCGGGAGTGGCCTCAGCCTTCAGATCGGGAGGGAGCTGACGGCTGGGCGGGGGCGCCTGGGGCGCGGTTGCAGGACAGGCTGGGAGCGGCGCCCTCCACCTGACCCGTCCGGAGCCTCCCGTGAGAGGGATACTTACTGGAATCCTTCCAGAGCGGGGACTCCGCGCGGCGACCCCCTCCCCGGGATCGTGACAACCTCCCTGCCCCTTGGCGCCTCCTCTCAACGCAAGGACAATTCCCCCATCTCCTAGGACTGTGACACCCCCTTGTGGGCTTCTTCTGGGACTGTGACAAGTCTCCCACCCTGCGGCACCCCCTCCCCCCAGTTGAGTGACACCCCGCGGCTCTTTTTTCTCAGACCTGTGACAGCCCCCGCACCCCCGTGGAGCCATATTTTTTTCCGCGATGTCTTCCTCCCCAGGGCGAAAAACCCATCAGCCCGTCATGCCACTGCACTTGAACTCCAAAGCAGGTTCTGTCGCCCCAGCTTTCCTTTATTCACTACTGTCAGTCTCTCACTGCTGTTTTTCTTCTTCAGAGCCTTGACCTTTGCCACACTGGAAACTTCTTCCCCCAGATGCCCCCACCATCCCTTTTGCTGCTCCAGGCTCACCTGAGTAGACTGCCTGGCTGTTTCTGCCAGTCTTTCCCCTTAACTCATTATTCCATTCCTGTCCTGAGCCCCACCTCGGCTGCCCTGGTGCTCTGAGGTCCCTACCACTGTGTGAACTTGCGTCTTTGCCCAGGGCTCTAAACTCCATTTTGCATTTCTTCTCCCAGCCTCTTTGGACTGAGGGATGGAATGTGTCCACCACCACCTTGAGAGACCTCTCACTGAGTTCGGGAGACCCTGGTGGCCGCAGTAATCCGCTTTATTTTCCAGTCTAGAAAACTCTGCTAAACTCCCTCCACCCTGTGAAAATTAATACCAGAGCTCATTCAGGAAATCTAGAACTAAATTAACCCTTTTTCTCCTTGCAAACAGTCTAAATTAGTTTGACCCAAATAATTTGGATAATTCATATATTCTGCCCCTTGCTTATAGGTACTCAGGCCAGAAATCAGTTATGTCATGGGGTCTGGAATCATAGAATTTCAGCCAGATCGATCTTATTGTTTTATGAACCTATATTCCCACCCCCTTATTTTTATTGCATTTGGGAGCTGAGAGGGAGCCTCCCTTTTTAAAAGGGAGATAATTAAAAATAACTAATAAGCAGCTTGGGTCATTAAAGTGTAGTCTGCCAGGGCTGGGGCCTTTCTCTCTGCTCTTTTGCCTGCTTATCTGACTGCCTGGGATTGGTTGGAACCACACTCCTGGGTCCGTGTCAGGGCCTAAGGCCTCCCTTTCTCTCCTCCCCACACCCTGCACACCCTTTCCTGGAATGTTTAGATTTCTGTGAATTAGAGAGCCACAGGTCAGGCCCTACTGCCTTCTCAGAAGGGTAGTGGAGCCTGAGAGACCCGGTCTTCCTAAAGCTGTGCCTGAGGGCCCCAGGCCTGAACCAAGTGGAGGTAATTCCTACCGCCATTCCTGCAGCCGCAGGGAGGCCTTCACGGTGACTCACCGGCTACAGTCTGAGTGAGAGTCTGCACAGGAAGGGGCCAAAAAGGATCCTTGCTGAGTTCAGCACTGTGAAGAGGGGGAGGGGGCTGCTTTCTGGGCTCAGCCCCAGAAAAGGGAGGGTCAAAATGGCCTTAGAATCCTGGGCCCAAGTCCTTCTCCATTTCTTTCTCCTTTCCAGTGTGAGATAAACAGGAACTGGAGCCTGGCTAAGGGGAGGGGCATGCCTGGGAGGACTGCAGGGTCACTTCTGGAGGGTTGAGTCAGGAAAAAAAGCCGAGCCAGTGACCTGCACAGCCCCAACTGGGGATGTTGGCAGAGGTTCTGAGGCCTTCCCTTACCCTGCCTCCGCCTGTCCTAGGTCTGTTCTCAGAGCGATGGGCCTTGGAGACTGAGCTGCCGCCATGATAGGAGGCTTATTCATCTATAATCACAAGGGGGAGGTGCTAATCTCCCGGGTCTACCGAGATGACATCGGGTGAGTCCCCTGGCTGAGCCAGCTGTGCCCCCACCCCTTATCCTTCCTCCCCAGCATGCAGGACCAGGTCTGTTGCAACCAGAGACTTGACCTGGGCCACCCCCTTCCCTTGCTGCATCCTAGAAGCTCAGCTAATACAACCTGGTTCCCATTAGGTCTGGTGGTATTGGCCTGATAGCCAGTTACTGCCTGATAGGCAGGACCTGTGGAATAGTGTGGCCCCTGCAGTCTTAGGAACTTTTGCCCTTCCTGCCTTCTCCTTTCCTTAGTGACAGACCTAGTTGCTCGAGATGTGTACTTTTGCCCTGGCAGATTGATTTCTCCTTTGAGGAGGAGGGAGATATTTCTCCAGGGGATGGAGTTAGTGGCCAGGCTAGAGGTACTAGGCCATCTAAGTCTTGCTCTCAAAAGCCATTCTCTTGTTGAGAGCCTTCACTGGATTCTCTTGAAAGCCTTTCCAGGCTGCCAAATCCTCTCCCACTCCCTTTCTCAGGAGGAGGCAGGCTGCTGACTCAGCCATTTTCAGTTCCTCTGGGCTACCCCTGGAAGAGAGGTTGTGAGCAAGCCTGGAGCACTCTCTGGGTCACTGAGGGAAAGGCAGGGAGGCCATGTGGCCCTTTCTGGCCTATCAGAGTAGATGTAGAATAGCTTCTTGTTCTGGGTCCCTCAGACCTTAACGAGGAAGCGCAGCCTGCCTTCTCATTCTGCCTCACCCTG